CGTGGATGGTGTGGCATTATCCGCTCCAATTCGTTGTAAATTGTTAAAGGATAAGTAAGATTGACGGAAAACAGATAATAGCGCATCGCCCATCAACTGTTTGCGAACACACGGCACAAGTAGAAACTCTGGTAATGGTCAAACGCGTCAGCCCACTCGTAATGAATCCCGCGCGCGCGCCACACTAATTTCCAAAATCGAATTTCTCGAATAAAAAACCTCGTAGACAAAAATTTCAGCCGCACGTTTTATTCAGTTTTACGTCAACTATCAGCTCCCGACACAAATCACTGCTGGTAATTCTGTATATATTGCTCCATTTATTTTTGTCGTGAGCTCCTACAACAGTTCTTTGTAGTATGCAAACGAAACGCTTGGAAACGTCTTCAACTTGTCAAAAATTGCACGTCAATGGTTATTCGATCTCTGATATTTTTATTTACTTTGAGAACTTTATTTTGTACGAACTCCTTTAATTATTAAGAACTGTACATCGAGAGTCTACATTATTTTATTTACAGTGGATGGCTAATTGGAGGAAATTTTAATTGACTTACAGAACTGGCAAAAGACGTGCTCCAATTAGAAGTTTCGTGTCGCAGTAGTTACTGGTCTGAATTAATTTTAATGTAGGAACCATGTACTTACAAACACAAAGGCTAATATTACTTCTCGCGGTAAACAAAACGTGTTTACCGCCTCCTTAAAACACATTCTCATTAAACCGGGCCGGGCTGCTGGGGTTCGTAAATAACTTTAACAGTCCCAGGTTGAAATTGTTTCAGAGAACGCTCTGGTTCCCCGGTACTCACATTCCATTACATTAAACTGCTCGCTAATATTGCATTGCATTGAGCTTTACGACAAATATATCACGGCGATGCTTATGAACTTGGGCGTACGATCACAGGATTCTAGATCGAAGACGTTTCGTGGAGTATCCTCATCAATGATTCATCGAGAAGAGTGCCAGAAGTGTCGTGGAACGTCGAGGCAAAAACGAAACTCGAGGTATAAAATAGATACAATTTCTTCGAGGAGCGAACCACTTGAACGCTCGTCGAGTGTCAGCTTCTTCTCCAGCGTCTGATGCTCGTTACGGCTCCATTTTATTTTTTTTTTTCGCAGAACAATGACAGGAGAAGAGGGAGGAAAGGTATTTCTGAAATGGCTCGTCAACGTTCATAATTTAAACCTTATTATAGACAAAAAATAAAGCTGCGCTAGTACCTTCGCGAAGCACTCCTTCGGGCCGGATAATCACCATTCCATTGTATTTTGAAAGTCGCCCTGTTCTCGAACAAAATAATTGTCGCGGACGTGCTACGGAATATCGTTTCTTAACGGGAGGTTTATCGTTCATGACGATGAAAAATTAGATTTTTTTTTTTACATAATTTGCATCCTTAAAGTGTTTGGAACGCGTTGGTAAGAGGATATTATCGTATAATATAAGTTCATCGCCTCTATTCTATATTCCACTTCTATACCCGGAAAAATACTTTTCATTTCGATGAGAGGACAACGGTGACGCTATTAGTCTCTTTTCTCCGTCGAAATTCCTCAAGTCAGGGAATACAACACCATCAACTTTCGAATAGTATGCAGGCAATCCTTAGTAACAGAAACGAATTTCTCAAATTAATCAAGGTATTAATGAAATATAACATGTTAAATAAATTATAATTAAATCGTTGTCGTAATTGCAGTCACTAATAATCTCGTAGTCGATCTGACCTTACATAAAGTAATTTAAATAAATACTACCGAAGAAAGGTATCTTGTGAGAATTCAATCTTCCACAGGTCTCTTGGTTACACGATTCCTCTGTTAAAAGTTGCACCTTTCGATCCCTTCTCATTAGAATCTCCCATTGCACTTCTCCGACCTCGTTTTCTATGATCCACCTTTGCGCAACCTCTTCAAGAGTCGCGAGCCTTGTTATTCGTCGCGTTCACGAAATTTTCGCTATGAAAACGTCATTCGGATGCGCGTAATCAAACGAGTCTCGCGAACATCGCTCCGCCCTGCATGAAATTTGAATCCGGAAAGCCATGCAATCTTCGTCAACCTTTTCCAGCCGAATTAAACCCAACCGTAGCAGATCCAATTTAGCCTCTGTCACCGTTCTCCTGTTTTCGTTGACTGCGACGAGCTCGAGTTCTCGTTCTCCACAGATTTAACGTTCGAGGAGTTTTCACGTGGTCCATAAAAAAGGGAACTTGTCGTTTTATTTCCCTTTGAATATAATGTCTCTTTTAATTTTGTATCTAGACGAAGGCACGTCAGGTGTTCTACAATGTCTGAAACGAAAACAGCGAATGTATACCTGGAGCTAGAATCCTCCTTTTGGTATTTAGGATCCCAACTGGGTACGTGTCGATATTAATGAACGCATTGATAGAGTAAACCCATTACTAAATCCCAGTACACGGATCTCGAATATCGCGTTTCGCCGACAAACAAGCTAGAAACAATACCAGATTCGATGCATGGCCGGTTATGGTAATCCTACCACTAATTTGCTGGTATCTTGCTGGCCTCAAAGGTTTCTATGCTTTAGCTCGCTACTAATGAACGAGTGATAATTATCCACTGTAGGACAATTCGATTCTTACTCGTAAACGTCCGTGAGACTACGATTCTCGAATGACGGAATCCCTACGGAAGTAGTGACCCCACTGGGATATTACCAGTGGAAAATTACATTTCTCTCCATGGAAATCGTTCGAGCAGACCTTGAAATGCGATGGAAGAAATCTCGATTTTTCATAATTCGACAGCGCTCTTTATAGAACAAAGGATAAGCTATCCCTCGAGATAAAAATCCAGTATCCTCATCCGTCACGATTTTTGGGATTTCGACGATAGGCTGGCCCTGCCTCTTGTTACCAATAAATCGTGGAAAGCCGCGCATTAAGAATTACGGTCGAGGGAAAGTGGGTCGCGAATCAATCGGGGGGAAGGAACCCCTCGGAATTGTTGCGGCTCGGTCCTGGGCGGTTTCACCGGTTGGGAAGAGTAATCACTGCGGAACGGGCCTGCCAGCATAATTAATTCCTCAGCCGAGTTTTAGGGTCGCTCCCGGCGTAAACGTTAACGCGTCCCTCGTCATTTTTCCTTTTTTTTTTTTTTTATTCCTGGTACGGTCCCATCGTTCCTGGACGCTCGACGGAAATTAATTCGATGTAACGTCAAACGCGCGAAAGAGACGAGCGACGCCCAAAGGATCGTCGGGTGAGCCGAGCCAGAGGATCGGAACTTTGTTCGCGGATGTACCTAGCGCGTTTGCTGGTCCCGTATGCCCGCTGGGGGTGTCGCGGCCATTGTTGTTTCATCCCTTATTCGTTTTTGTGAGCATCGGTTATTCCAGCGGTGAAGGAAAGTTTGATCGATTAAATTCTCCTGTGCGGCGGGTGGTAACATTTTTGTATTCACTTTTGAGCTTTTCGCGATCGACTCGACCCTGGGTGACCCCTGGATTACGAACAGTTCGGTGGCTACTCGAGGATTTTGGAAGAGAGCGGACCAGGAACGCTCGAGCTTGCGGTCCAGACTGTGGTCCATTTCTTGTCCGAGGAGTCGCGCGGGTGTTCGCCTCAAACATTTAATGTTTCGTTTGAAAATACTGGAGAGGTCTGGGACAAGTTATCGAAGAATGAAGAAGCTCTAAGAGCGTCCAGAAGTCGGATTGTTCACTTGATAGGATCATTGATCGCGTCGTAACGTACAAACGCTCGGATGTTGAATTTTGTATTAATGGTATAGATGAACATATTTGGATAATAATTGGCAGAAATACTGCTGAAAGTGTGTACTTTGAATAAACATATCAAGTATTCACATCAACCATTCGTCATCCCCAGAAAAAATTCCCAACTGTCATTAATTTCTAAAAGACAATATTCTCCCATAATCCATTCCCAGTATTATGAATTAATAAGCATACGAAGAATTAATTCCCATCGCTTCTGGCACTCAATAATCTGCCATTAGCGCAGCCCATGCTTATTAAGAATTCTCAGTACCATAGAAGCTTGTCGGCTCGTATTATTTCTAAGCAGCGTCCGCTTGTCGCAAAATCGATAGACGCTGAATCGTTTCGCGGTGGCAAACCTGGCACATAGCTAATTTAATCATGCGGGTATTTATGTCGCAAAGAGAATCGAACGAGTTAAAGCTCGAGTTACGTTAAGACTGCTGCAACGCATCTCAGCGTCCGTCAAATTGACGAACGGTCTTTCATCGTAATAATCCGCCCTACTAGCGCTCCACGGAAATTTCGAGTACATCGTTCTGCCGATTAGAAGCTGGCCGATTAGGCACACGTGAATTCCGGTTCCCGGAAAATGGAGATGGAAATGCAACCGACGTGTCTATCGTAGGGAAGATGGTTTCTGTAGCGACCGCAAGGGTGGCTCGTGAACCTCGATTTGCGTGTGTGTTCCGAATTCTAAATGACCGCCCCTTGCGCTCGCCCTGCTCATTTTCACGATGCTGGTAACGCTACCTCGCTCTAAATACGGAAAGTAATTTTATAGCGTGCGTAGGTACAGTTTAAAGCAATGGTATGCTTCGATAAACGCACTTCGTTGTGTTTGGTGAATTTTTTTATTCCCGCGTAGCTTATGTCCTCTTCGATGCTATATTCGAAGATGGAGGTATCTGACTTGAATCTGTGATAATTAATAAAATAGAATAAAAACGTATTAAATATCATGATTTTCAACCGTTTTCGAATTCTTCGTACGTAGCTGCGCGCAGGTTTCTAGAAATCGAGGGATTTAGGGAAAGAAGAAAAATTGAATTTACATTTTCCCCTCTGTTACATATATACATATGTACTTTACGTATGTATTTTATATATCGGATGGAAATATAAAAGGCTTTGCATTCTGCAGAAGGATTCTGCGCGTCCCGTATTCGCCGACTTCCATAGCGCGACGAGACGCATTAATAAAACGAGATTTTAATGTGACTCCTTTTTTTTTCTATTGCAGTAACGAAATTCATCCGTATTGGAATAGCTGACAAGAACGACAATCCGCCTTACTTCGACAAAAACCTCTACGAGGCTGAGGTAGACGAAAATGAGGACATTCAGCACACGGTCCTCACTGTCACCGCCAAAGATCATGACGAGTGTGAGTAGATACATTCGATAACGACAACTTTCAGTTTTTCAGAGTTCGAAGCCCGCGATACTTCTTTCGCGAAGTTTCTTTCGTACACGACTTATTATACAAATTTCTAGCACACCTGGTCATTAACGAACGTCGAAGTTCCTGATTTCCAATTTATTTAAATAACTGCGTTTCGTCTTGTTCAAATTATCACAATTACATAATTAAAATATACTTTATTCCAGAATTTTAGACATAAACTCAAGAACATTACATACGCAAATTCTTCTCTTCGATCTAATAATCGAGTAATATTTCGTCGTACGTATTCAAATTCCGATCTTTATCCAGTAATTCAATAACGGCGAAAGTTTCAACCCTTCGTCAGCCTCCTCTACGTCTCGTCGCGTGTCTTCTTCATTTCGCGTAACGACCTTACATCCAGCCGGAAGTTCTCTATCCTTAACGCGGCTAACAAGTTACATCTGATAACAGAATCCATCTACTCGGGTCCCGAAATCGCGTTAACTGCTTACGGAAGTTTAAATACCAGATGGCACGGCGCGAAGTCGCGAAACATATTTATCCGGTGGGCTCCAATTAAGAACTTCGACGTTCGGGGGTGATTAAATTCTAATAAAACTTGTTTAAGGACGCACGGTTCGGCGAGTTTGTCGCCGTTCGCGGGTCTGCGAGCGAGAAGCCAGCCCGGGGAAACTAATTTCACTGCCACTTGTGATTGCACACGTTCCTCCGGGGGAAATTTTTCACGGTGAAAATTTGAAGAGTGGCTCTGGCTTAATGAATCTCGTATTTAGGATTAAGCACGGCGTAAGTCGATTACGGGGGCCGAGCGCGAACGACTGGGAAATCTTAATTCTTCGGTCCGCTCGCTTGGGAATTATTCTTTCGGCGATAATCTCGCGTCGAAAGTACGCTTGAGACGGTGCTTACTTAGAATTACATAGTACACGAGGGAGTGAAGTGTTGTTTATACCTTTAATTCATTTTCTACTTGCCGGGGAACATATTACTTCGTCGTTAACCGGTCCACGATATTTAAATAATTTTAGACTGAACTCCTTCTTTCGTTTTCTTTTCCTGTAACCTGTTCATTCTTCAATTCGAGTTCGTTTGATTTATAACACGATAATCATTGTCTATTCTTATGTATATATGTATGTCCGTGTTTCTGTCTTTAATGAAAGCTTGAAAAGCAGGATCTAGTGAAACCTTGCTCTCCCCACGCCGCCTCAAAAAAAAAAAGGAACACCAAATAATATTTTTGAAATACTGCACATCGAAGGAACAGCGCAATCCCATCCTCGCAATTCCCCAATCCCTCTAGCCTTTCAATTTTAATCCGCGGGGATAAATCTAATCTTTCGAATCCTCTAATCAGCACCCGTAGCGAGGCAGTGAATCGTCCCGTGCAATTGCGTTCGTCCCCGATTCGCTAATGCGCGACTCGTGGAAAACAAGGAATCGTCAGACGAAACGTTAGCAACAAAATAGCTCGCGACGAGAAATTGAACTACGGGGGTTCTGGTAACGTCGCAACGGAAGCCTCGTTTGCTCGTCAACCGAAAGAAGAAATTTAATTTCCGTTATTTAAATGAAGAGGGATCGTTTTACGATTCAGCCAGCCACGCTTCTTTCGCCATTAAGAATGAGAGCAGCTCCCGACATTTTACTGACGGCTCGTGACACGTCGGGCGAACGGAAAGGCCGTCGTTATAATTTTTTCTTTCCACCTAGGATTCCCATCTGAAGGTATGCTTTTCTGCATTTTACAGCCTCGCGTATTCGATACGAGATTACGGGCGGTAACCTAGGCGGCGCGTTCGCCGTGAAGAATATGACTGGCGCCATTTACGTAGCAGGTGCATTGGATTACGAGACCAGGAAAAGGGTTAGTAAACAAATCTTCTAAGGCATGCAGTAAACGTAGCACTAGGTTGTAAGGAAATGCGTTCGTTCGCGAGAACAAAATAAATTAAATTAAATACTTTTTTATTTGGACTTTTTTATTTAGAAAAAGAATCGATTAAGAATGCATACGACGCTTAGAGTCGTTCGAGTGTAGAATTGCTTAACCAGTAAAACTGGTAGAACGATGAAATAAATTAAAAGACAAAGAATTCTTAAACAATTTACAGTATTAAAGTACTATTCCTTAATTACTCTTACACTTGTAACATCATGAAAACTAAGTTGCTCAAGTGTTCGTATTAATATTAATATTTGTTGGAAGGCGAGCGAGTTTCCTCGACGTCAGTGGTACAGCTGGGCACATGGGGTAGAATGAAATCGCGTGGTCGTCCAAGGGTTAATCCTTTTAACCACGTTACTGCCCGTTTTATTACCCCTCGGTCCAATAAAACTGCGAAACGGCACGAAAAGTTTCGCGGTTATTGCACGGTTTTTCCAGCCACTCGTTTGTCATTGGTTTAATAAGTCTTTCGTTTTACATGGGTCCGAGCGCATCATCGAGATCGTATTGCTCGAAACTTCGTCCCCTCCCAACAAATCGGATCCCCATCCGGTTTTAATCGAATTCCGCTATGGAATATTGGCTTTCGTTTGGGATATTCTAGCGTGAATATTGAATTTGCCACGAGCTTGTTTGCATATTCTTCTTTGTTCCAGCGACCTACAAATATTACTCGAATATTGCAAACCGAAGTCCTCGGGGTTACTCGATTTGTAAAGTTCAATCGAACTGTTAATTATTTACTGTAAATTATTTACTCGATATTAATAGACATTTATCTGTGACAGTTTTTCATTTAGCCTCGGATCATCGATCATAGTAGACCGAATATGTGATTTATCTGTCCCGTTCCGACGAAGTTTTCCCTCGGACCGTATGAATAATTCAACGCGCGGAATTCGTTAAAACGAAAGACTATACTTTTTTTTTTCGTATTTTCGTTAATTCGGTGTTCCCGTAAATTTTATCAGAGGAAACTTTTATCCCGTCGAAATTAAAAGTTTCGTCCTATCAATTAATGGAGTACTTTATTCCGCGGAAGCGAATTCGCTGGTCCTTTCTAACTCGTTTTATCGCCGAAAACTCTCATTATCGTCGAGAACAAGCGCTTTAGACTGGAGAGCACAGTTTCCAGCTGGTATCACCGTTCTCATCCACTTGTATCGCTTTAATCACACAGTACGAGCTCCGCCTCACCGCCTCGGACAACTTGAAAGAAAATTACACGACGGTCGTAATACACGTGAAGGACGTGAACGACAATCCGCCAGTCTTCGAGCGACCAAATTATAGAACGCAGATCACCGAGGAAGATGACAGGACTCTCCCGAAACGCGTCCTTGGGGTAATTACTATTCTCCTCGCGGAGTTAATCCCGGGTCGAATTTTCATCGAGTACCCGCCAAACTGTTCCGATAATTAAGTTTGAATAATGCATCGTGTTCTTTCACTTCGCTGCCTCCACGAGGTCGCGGGGGAATGTAAATATTGTTTAATTAAAATTCACCGTTGTCTTGCGGAATGAAAACAGTAATTCACGCAGATTCAAATTTTATTTTATACGCTTCTGTTATACGCTCGAGCGACGTGTTTGGATTGTTATTATTGAATACGAGCTATTCTTACATTTGCGTGATACGGTGTCACCTTCGAGTAATACGATAAAGTTACTGCACAGTTTAACAATTTTTATACGACACAAACACTTAATGGAGCGCTCGAAATTTATATTAAATTTTATAAACACGCGCTAGGAAATTCAGAGCGCAGGATATAGAATGAAGAGTACGAGACATAAAGTACGAACTGCGCGGTATGGAATATATAACGCGACGCTTGAAATGTGAACTATGAAGTGTGAAACATGGTGCATACGAAATTTAGAATATTTAGTTTAAAAGATAACTTTGGAGGAAAGAGGGCGATCATAGACGGATTACCTAGAATGGTATTTTTGTCGTTTAACGATAAAAAGAAGGTAATTATACGTCTCCAATTTCTTCTTTGCGCAGGTCCAAGCAACCGATGGCGACAAGGACAGACCACAAAATATCGTCTATTTCCTAACGGGCCAGGGAATCGATCCCGACAACCCAGCGAACAGTAAATTCGACATTAATCGCACCACCGGAGAAATCTTCGTTCTAAAGGTTCGCAAATCTTCTAAGACATTTTTTCAGACAAATACTCGATTTACCGCGAATTACCAGCCTTGTACTTCCGTTTCTTAACTCGAACACTTCTCGATCAACCCTACCAAGATTCCCATTTTTACTTTCAATAATCGGAAATCTTTCCAGAACAAATACTCAAATAATCGGCCTTGTACTCCCGTCGGTTAACTCGAAGACTCGATCAAACCTACCAACATTCCCATTTATACTTTCAATAATCGCAAATCCTTCCAGAAAAAAAATACTCGATTCATCTCGAATTATCAGCCTTGTACTCCCGTTGCTTAACTCAAAGACTCCTCAATCAACCCTACCAAACTTCCCGCGCATATTTTCTACGAAAAAATATTATTTCAAAAGACCATTCTGCATCGTCTCCGAATGGTATGCGTGGAAAAGCTCCGTCGTACTTTTGTCGGAGGGATCGTGTTCACCGCGTAATCCGCGAAAGTGCGTTCCCCTGTCGCGGAGTACACAAAGCTCCCGAGGAGCTTTGCCGTGCTCGTTGCTTTATTAAATTTGCCTCGCGTTTCGGGTCACTTGAGGTCGTAATCCGTCGGTTTTTCCGCAGCCGCTGGACAGGGATCAGCCGAACGGGAGACCGCAGTGGCGATTTACCGTGTTCGCCCAAGATGAACGCGGAGAAGGTCTGGTGGGCTACGCCGACGTTCAGGTGAACCTAAAGGACATCAACGACAACGCTCCTACCTTCCCGCAGGGTGTCTACTTCGGCAACGTCACGGAAAATGGCACAGCGGGTACGGTTGGATTAAGGGTGTAATTTCTTTTTATACGTTCCGAGATTCTTTTTTTTTTTTTTTTTTTTTTTTTGTTTGCAAGGGAAGTAGACGACGTAAACTGTTGAAATTCGGTGCGGTTGGTACGCGTGTGTTGCGAGGTTTTGGTAAATTAACTGTCTGGCCAATTTGTTTTGATGTTTCCTGCACGGTAAAAGGGGTACTGTTATTCTTTAGGGTTTCGAGAAAATTGAATTTTTTTTTGTTTATAAAAGACCGAGGGTGACGAAGGCTTTGTTTGCGTGACGAAATTAAATGGTGGGAATTGTTGTCTACGCTAGAGTGAAATGAAATTAGTTTTTGTGCACTGACATCCTGCTATTACTTACGCGACGATTCGAAATAATTGTAACGGGAACGAAATGCGTCTAAAGAGATACAAAGTAGGGATAACCAAAAAACTGAAGATATACAACGTATATATGATTTATTATACTGGAACGTTTTAGGATTACCATAAAGAATTTTTGTATCCAAAGACGATCGTCTGATTTTATTTACGATCGATCCTTGTTGACGCACGTTTCAGGAATGGTCGTGATGACCATGACCGCGGTGGACTACGACGATCCAAGCGAAGGGACGAACGCTAAACTGGTGTACTCCATTGAAAAGAATGTCATCGAAGAGGAGACGGGCTCGCCGATCTTCGAGATCGAACCGGAAACTGGGGTGATCAAGACGGCGGTATGCTGCTTGGACAGGGAACGCACGCCGGATTATTCTATACAGGTCGTCGCGATGGATGGAGGGGGGTTAAAGGGTGAGTAAAATAGATCGGACTTTCAGATCTTTTGAATTGAATTTTTCCTGGGATTGTTCTTGAATGATTTATGAATCGGCTTTCTATTGTCTACGCTCTCGATTAAATTAATATATTTGTCGACGGCACGAACAAAGCGTGTTTTTATTATTTTTAACGTCAGAATGAGTTGAAAGAAACTGGCAAGTATGATCGTGAAAGTGACAGGTGTCCAATTATTATTTCGATTCATGGGAATTATTCCTTGGAATGTTCAGGGACGGGGACGGCGTCCATACGAGTGAAAGATATAAACGACATGCCCCCGCAGTTCACGAAAGAGGAATGGACCACCGAGGTGGACGAAACGGAAGGTCCGGATTTGCCGGAAATTCCGATTCTTACGGTCACTGTGCACGATCAGGACGAGACCAACAAGTTCCAATACAAGGTACCATCTGTTACCGTCTAACTCCACTGATCCATTAATGGCACTGGATTAACTCTCGACTCGATAGCAAACGAAAACAGCTCCGATGATTTTATTCTAAACGTGTAAATTGCGAATCGTTTCTTTTCGCGTCAAAGATACCTTATAAAACTGAGTCGAAAATCGTTGATGCAATGGACGTAATCAAAGAGTACCCTAACTATTCTGGATCCTTAGGTGCTTGAAAACAGCGGTTACGGCGCGGACAGGTTTACCATGGTGAGGAACAACGATGGCACAGGATCTCTGAAGATCGTGCAGCCATTGAATTACGAGGACCAAATGCAGAGTAACGGCTTTAGGTTTAGGATACAGGTGAACGATAAGGTGCGTAAAATGTACAGACGTGATTCGATGATAAACTCATAGTATTTAATCCTCCGGTCGATTATCATTACTACGAAAACAAAAGTTTACAGACTTCGCGCCCACGCACGAGTTGGGGAGAAAAACATTGATATAAGAATTTGAAACTTTAAAATGCATTAAATATGCACATCTCCGAATTAATTGAATATTTACAATGCAAATAGTAACGTTCAGTCTTCGATGAAATATTAATAAGAATCACGGTTCAGAATAAGTATTCATTGAACACAGTAATCGTGAGAAATTTGTCTATATTTTTATATCTCTTAGCTGGAATAACTATAAATATATTTCTGACAATAGTTACATTAATTATTAACAATGTTTGTTCAAGCAACGACCGAGAATATGATCTTGCTGTAATATTACACCGCCGAATTTCGGCTGTTCGAAAATAAAAAGATTTTCGATCTTAAAAAATCATGATACGTAATTTCAACCCTTCGACTATGCTCGACGGTATTATTAACAGCTTTCTGTTACGCTTGGCGTATTTTCAGGGCGAGGACAACGACAACGATAAGTATCATGTCGCCTACTCGTGGGTGGTGGTGAAGCTGCGCGATATAAATGATAATCAGCCACAGTTCGAGAGGGCAAACATCGAGACGACGGTGCCGGAAAACGCCAACATTGGAAACACCTTAGAGACGTTTACGGCCACTGATCCCGATCAGGGCGGCAAGAGCAAAGTGTATTACTCGATCGACAGGAGCTCCGATCGCAAAAGGCAGTTCTCGATCAACGAGAACGGCACCGTGTCGATCCAGAGGAGCCTCGATCGCGAGGAAACCCCGCGACATCAGGTAAACCATGAATTTCTATAGGACGTTGAAAAATTGAATGACGTGGACTGTACCTGATTCGATTTATTTTAAATGCCATTTAATGTCACAAAAAGTAGTTTAGAAAGTAGTTGGAGAGGGTGTCTATTTTACGTGCTTCAAAATTCCACCTCCTTGTTTAAAAAACAACAAATGAATGTCCGAAAACTACTAGAATCATATGCGACAAATATTCCTGGCCAATTTTATCCTTATACATCGACTCGTTTCGCCTCAAATAATCCCTGAAAATTTCGTCATTTTTAGCGTCCCAAATTAGGCACTCCAAAAATCACCAAACCAACACTGGAATTTTTCTAGGTGAAAATCCTGGCGATCGACGATGGCATCCCACCGAAGACAGCGACAGCCACACTGACGGTGATCGTCCACGACATAAACGACAATCCACCGCGATTCCTAAAGGAATATCGACCAGTTTTGCAGGAGCATTCGCAGACCAAGAAGGTGGTAGAGATATTGGCGACGGACGACGACGACAGATCGAAGAGCAACGGTCCTCCGTTCACTTTCAGGATGGACGCGAAGGCGGACGACGTGATTCGAGCTAGTTTCAAAGTCGAGAGCGATAACAGTAAGTCGCGTGGCAACTCTATCTGGAAAGAATTGCTACTAGCCACAGTTTGGATCGTTTACGTAACGAACTTCTTTTCGTTTCCTCAGAGGGTGCAAACGGTGATGGTATGGCCATCGTGTCGTCGCTACGATCGTTCGACAGAGAGCAACAAAAGGAGTACTTGATACCCATCGTTATCAAGGATTCTGGGACTCCTTCCATGTCTGGAACCAGCACCTTGACCGTCGTTATCGGGGACACCAACGATAACAAAATGCAACCTGGCTCGAAGGACATTTTTATATACAATTACGCGGTACGTATATCATGTTACACTTTCGCGAAGCGAATAATTCGGCCACGGAACCGTGCCCCTGGATTTTTCGTTCGTTGTGATACGCGTTCTTCTTTTTAATCCAATAATCGTTTCAATTCGGAAGAAAACATAGTTATTATTGAACAACGAGACCGAAACGCTTGTAAATAAATACGTCTTCCTTGCCGGATGAATAGACTTCGAAATGAATCGATGCAAAATGGTAGCACGAATTAATCAAATGTCGATGTTAACATCAGGGACAATCGCCAGACACCGAGGTAGGCAGAGTCTACGTCTACGACTTGGACGACTGGGATTTGCCAGACAAGAAGTTCTACTGGGAGAGCCTGGAGCACGCTCAATTCAAGCTGGACGAGAGCACTGGCATGATCTACATGAAATCGGGCACCCAAGACGGCAGGTATCACCTGCGATTCAAGGTCTACGATCGAAAACACACGCAGACGGACGTTCCCGCCAACGTGACCGTCACCGTCAAGACCATCCCTCACGAGGCCGTATTGAACTCTGGCTCGGTCAGGATATCCGGCATAACCGACGAGGACTTCATTCGAGTTTGGGATTACAAGGTGAGGATTTCAGGAAAAGATCATCGATTGTGGATTTAGACCCGATGATAATAACGCGTTGCACACTTGCAAGAAAACTTGCAATTTTCAAATTGAAATTATCATATAATTGAAGCATATAAGTTCTAGAAGTTATTATACACTTGCAAGAAAAGTTGCAATTTTCAAGTTGAAATTATCACATAAGAAACGCTCTTTTCGTGGTACAATACTTGTGCTTTAACGTCAATGGTTTTTCCAGTCTCCAATGCACATTCGCTCCTGTTTGCTATAGATGAATAGTTACGAAACAATGCAATGGTTTTTCTTAACATATTTTGAAGCATCGTACTTCAACTCGTGCAAAAACGTTATCGAGTCGACTCGGTCGCTTTTCAGTCGCAAACGCTGTCGCGAAGCAAAGCCGAATTGTTCCGCGAGAAACTGGCCCAGTTGTTGAACATCAATAGAGAGAACGTGGACGTGTTCAGCGTTCAGTTGCGTAGAATGCATCCACCCCTAACCGACGTCAGATTCGCCGCCCATGGGTCCCCGTATTACAAGCCTGTCAGGTTGAACGGAATCGTCCTGATGCACCGTGAAGAGGTAAGTTCCTTACATTCTGCAATTTTCGAATAAGGTTTCGTGCGAGTCGAACGATATTTCTGAACTCACCTAAAATCATCCAAAATAAATTAGATCGAGAAAGGGGTGGGGATCAATATAACGATGGTGGGCATCGACGAGTGCTACTACGAGAACGAAATGTGCGAGGGTAGCTGCACGAACACCTTGGACATCAGCAGCCTGCCGTACATGGTCAACGCAAACAAAACCGCCCTTGTCGGCGTAAGGGTGGATGTAATCGCCGAGTGTACATGCGGTGCGCGAAACTTCAGCAAAGGGGAGTCCTGCAGAAGCAGCCCCTGTTACAACGGTGGTCGTTGCGTGGAGGGACGATTCGGATTATCGTAAGCGCCGGTTTATGGAGATTCGCGTAACGAAGACAGTCTCGACCTGGATTAATCGTTTCGCGATTTTCTCTCGCAGATGCCAATGCCCCACTGGATACAACGGTCCGAGATGCCAGCAGACCGCGAGAAGTTTTCGTGGCAATGGCTGGGCCTGGTATCCCGCTTTGGAGATGTGCGACAATAGCCATTTAAGCTTCGAGTTCATCACGAAGAAACCCGACGGTTTACTTCTGTACAACGGGCCTATCGTTCCACCTGAAGCTGACGAGATCATGGTTTCTGGTAAGTTACATTTATTTTATCTCTTAATTTCACCTGTTCTCGATACATACGAATGGATTAATTGGATCACGGTGGAATTGTCATAATAATTGGTATATTATCGTTGTTCCAGATTTCATATCGGTCGAGCTAGAACGTGGAATACCTCGTTTATTAATAGACTTCGGGTCTGGTACCCTGGAGTTGAAAGTCAAACCAACGAGAACTTTGGACGACGGAGAATGGCACAGGCTCGATATCTTTTGGAACACAGAGGTGAGCTTTCCACTTCTTTCACGCAAAAAAAAAATCCTAGATCCTTGACACTACAAAATTACGATCCCCAAAAATGAAATCCAGCTAGCTCGTAGCATAATATAAACGATCTTTCCCCGCCTTCCAGACCGTCAAGCTCATCATCGACTACTGCAAGTCCGCGAACGTCTCCGAGCCCGACGACAACACGCCCCCAGAGTTCAACGATACCAGCTGTCAGGCGCAAGGGATGATTCCACCCTTCAACGAGTACTTGAACGTGAACGCTCCCCTGCAAATCGGCGGCCTCTACGTCGAGCAGTTCGACCCCACCCACTACAAATGGAAGCACATGCCCGTCGGCAAAGGTTTCGACGGCTGCATCAAGAACCTCTTCCACAACAGCAAGCTGTACGACCTCGCCCATCCCGGCCTCTCGAGGAACAGCGGGGCTGGCTGCCCTCAGACCGAGGATATATGCAACAACCAGGAGTCCACGTTCCGATGCTGGGAACACGGCACTTGCGTGGGAAGCTTCACCGAGTCCCGATGCCAGTGCAATCCAGGATACACTGGTCCTGGTTGCATGACGCCCACCATTCCCACGACCTTCAAGCCGCAGAGCTACGTTAAATACGCGTTGTCGTTCGAGCCTGACAAGTATTCCACCCAGATCCAACTCAGATTCCGTACCAGGGAAGTCCACGGTGAACTCTTCAGAGTCAGCGACCAGCACAACAGGGAGTACGCCATCCTGGAGGTGAGTACTCGGACGATTACTTATTGTTTGGATCACTTTGATATCGGATGCAAATTACGACGGGAGATTCTATCGTCAAATATGGGAGATGTTTAGTTGTCATTCTGTGATGGATAGACATTTTGTATGGAATATTTTGAATGTTTAAATAATCATGTTGAAAATGATAGGAACAGTTGTAGTACTGGAGGAATTTATTTGAAATATATTGATGGTTGAAATTTAGATATGAATAAAGGATATGCTTTAATCTGTAGATGAAGAACAATTATAGTACAGGAACAATTTATTTAAAATATTTAAAATGATTTAAATCCAGGTATGAATAAAGGATTGTCCTTTAATCTGTAGATGAAAGATAATTATAGTATAAGTATAGTTTACCACGACACCAATTTTAAAATATTTAAAATGATTTAAATTTAGATATGAATAAAGGATATGCTTTAATCTGTAGATGAAGAACAATTATAGTACAGGAACAATTTATTTAAAATATTCGAAATGATTTAAATCGAGATATGAATAAAGGATGTGCTTTAACCTGTAGATCAAGGACAGCAGACTGCACTTCCGCTACAATTTGAACAGCCTGAGGACCGAGGAACGAGATATCTGGTTGACCGCTATAGCGGTTGACGATGGCCAGTGGCACACAGTCCGAGTTTCCAGATACGGATCAGCTGCGACTCTGGAGTTGGACGGTGGGGAAGGAAGGAGGTTCAACGAGAGCTTTTCGTTCGAAGGACACCAATGGCTGCTGGTGGACAAACAGGAAGGTGTCTACGCGGGTGGCAAGGCCGAGTACACTGGTGTAAGGACGTTCGAAGTGTACGCCGATTATCAAAAAGGTGAACTTATGCGTAACGTCTTGAATTTCACGACTCGATTACATGAATTAACACTAGTAAATATTATTAAAATAGTGTACCAATATATTTATACCAATAATATTTCGAATGTATCTCGATCAGGATGCCTGGACGACATCAGACTGGAAGGGAAACATCTGCCATTACCGCCTGCCACAAATGGAACGCAATGGGGTCAAGCAACGATGGCTAGAAATCTGGAGAAGAACTGTCCATCGAACAAGCCCTGTGCCAACATAATTTGCCCCGATCCCTTGGAATGCATCGACCTCTGGAACGAATACGACTGCACGTAAGCGTCGATTAATATATTGAACGTGCAGATATATTCGTAAACGTAACTTCACGATTGCGTTTAGATGCGGAGAAGGGAGAATTCCATCCCCCGATAGCAAGGGATGTATGGACAAGAACGAATGCATCGATTACCCTTGCTTGAACGGAGGCAGATGCATCAATCAGGATCCTCGTTTCCGGTACAGATGCATTTGCCCTGACAGCTTCTGGGGAGAGAATTGCGAGCTCATGCAGGAAGGTCAAACGTTGAAATTCGGCATGGGAGCCTTGGCGGCCATTCTGGTCTGTCTTTTAATCATTCTCGGTGAGTTACTCTTTAATAATTTCTATTCGTTTCTGAGTATCGCGTAATCGAGGGTATAGACGTTACGACATTTGCTTTTACAGTTCTCGTCTTGGTGTTCGTCGTCTACAACAGAAGAAGAGAGTCTCACATCAAGTACCCTGGACCCGATGACGACGTGAGAGAAAACATCATTAATTACGACGACGAAGGTGGCGGTGAAGACGACATGACTGCGTTCGACATCACCCCGCTTCAAATCCCCATCGGTGGCCCGATACCGGAAATGGGTGGAAAACTGCCACCGTGTAAAGTAGCCTGTAAGTTAACAAATTTTCTTATTATTAATTTATCGATAACTCTCTGTTTCAATATTATTGTGAATACCGATGATCCGGTAACATTTTCTAGATCCACTAGGACCCGAGCCAAACGTGGGAATCTTCATAGAAGATCATAAAAAGAGGGCTGACAGCGATCCCAACGCACCGCCGTTCGACGACCTACGAAATTACGCTTACGAGGGCGGCGGAAGTATCGCGGGCTCACTGTCATCGTTAGCTTCCGGTACGGCCCATACTTTTTTTTATTTTCGATATCTTTATCTTTCTATTTATGCTTAAACAAATGTTTAAGTGTCTTTAACGAAGTCCTTGGTATATTGTAATATTACTTCAGTGTATTTATTTTTGTAATAAGAAAGATCTTAAAGACTTTTCCAATTAAATACAAAAATGTTTCGCGTGGTACTAAACCGTTATATGCATGAAACAATTGTATATAATTTGTATGTGCACTTGCGATCACGAACTAACGAACTAATGCAGAGATTGCTCGGTTACCAACAGGTACGGACGACGAGCAGCACGAGTACGAGTACTTGGGTGCCTGGGGGCCCAGATTCGACAAGCTGGCCGACATGTACGGGCCTGCAGAAGAAAGCGAGGAAGAGGACTAAATCCCCGTAAGCTCGCATGAACCATCCGCCTCCATTGGGAGACATAGTGTTCGTGTGATCTTAAAACAGAATGGACTGTCCTCTACGAAACGTGAGTTCGAACAAACTTTCCAAGGATAGCCGCGAAGAGCAAGGGATTAAATCCAGGCGAGAGGAGCAAAGAGAAACTTCTTCGCATCGAAGTTGTGTTTTTGTAACCCGGGCAACAAAGACGTTAGCGTTCCATTCGATAAGATCATCGAGCCGGACGTCCACGTCGCCGTCTGAAACGTCGCGACGATGGACGAGGCGCATAGGTGCTCGACGAGTTTTGAAATTCTCGTAAACGGTGATCTCAGCAAAAGAGCTTTCTAAGGCCCGTCGCGTCACGAACGTTGTTGCAATAAAGAAATCCACTCGAGTCACGGTCAACCGAAGGGTGCACACCTAATCTGTATAGCACGTTACGCGTATACGTAGTGAATTCGCGTGTGTGTACCTACACGTGAGACTTTTCTATTAATAAAACAAATCTATATATATATATATATATTATATATACGATTCATTATTTTTAGTCACAATCATAGTTACTATTTATCGATACCATCGACGTCGATGTATGTCCCAGTATGTACGCTCGGTTATACATATATATATATATATATTATATCGTCGTCGCGACAGCATCGGAAGATAATGATTCAGTCAACGTTTTACTACTGCCAGTATCATTGCCGTGCGCGCGATCGTCGTTTACGTTTCGTCGGCGTGACTCGCGGCCACGTCGTCTTTTAAAGGGCATTTCTCATTTTTACTCATTTATTTATTTACGAATGGAATAAATACATTTCTCGTTTTACCCGTTTCTCCCCCCTTCCCCCTCTCTTAACCACGTCCGTCAACGAGGTCGCCGAGGGCAAGAGAATACTAGCGATTTTCTAGGCAGCAGTCGACGAACCGTCGAGTCGAGTTACGAGGATGCTGGATTTCGTCCCGATTCTTTTTCATTCCGGATCGATACGAAATATCGGCGTTCTCGCTTATCGTTTGACTTTTTAAGAGAACGGATTAAATTTGTGGTTAAAGAGTGAAATGTGCTTCGAAAAAAAATTGGCTTCGAAATTCCAGGAACAACGGAGCTCTCGAATTTAATAAACTGTTCTTCCACTTTTTATTTCCAGCCTCTGCGCGTCAAGATGTTAAATAAATATATTCGACCCTTCTCGTCGGCTCGGAGAATAATCGCGCAGCCGGAAGTCGCTAGTACGCAGTATTTTTTCGGTTTCTTCCACCGACCCTGGGTCCCACTGTTCGCGGACTTGTATCGTTGTTGAGTGTAAAGAATCGCGAGAGAGAACGACACATTCGCGACGCCTTCCTCGTTCGCGAAATGCGGACGACGATCCTACCGTAATGTGGTCTGTCGTACTAGAATTATCGGAGAGCCGCGTTAGATAAATTTGTTCGCGAATCGAGAACCATTCTAATCGTTGTCATCGTCACCGTCACCGCCATCCTCATTGATTATTGCTAGTATTATTATTGACATTACGATATATATATATATATTATAAATATGAATTTATAAATAAATAAATAAAAATATATATATATATAGAAACAGAGGGAGAGAGAGAGAGAAGCGCATTGTGGAAAACAAAGGGTACAGCAACGTGGAGCGCACGTGAAAGTCCGCGAAAAGGAGACAAAGGAGAGTTACCGCGCGTATATGTAATTATTATAATTAGTATTATATAGCGGTATAAATATAAATATGAATATAAATATATATAAATATATATATATATATATACATATACATATTATGTAAAAGGAATAACAGACGCAGACACGTAAAGAGATGATTAAAAAGCAAAAAAAAAAAAAAATAACAGAATATATAAAGCGAAAAACACATGAATAGTAGCGCGAGATAACGAGGGCCGGCTGTCGAGAAAAGCTCACGGTTTATAGTCTCGACATAGTATTAATATTTATTTTCTGTCAATAAAGAACCGGCCGGATGTTTGAATTACGACGGAGAAGAAAACGAAGATAAATGAATTAGCGAGCGAGCGAAGAGGGAAACGGCGAAGGCCCTTTCTTCGCCGCCGTTCGAGCGGCGATTTCGATGCCACCGGCGAGTTCGATGCTCGGTCAGGCGCGACGCTTTCGAGACAGAGCTGGGCATTCGTACGATCCATCGACTGCGCGTTTCGATTAAACGTTCGATCGTCGAAATTCGTCGCGATTCGATATCTTGCATTTCCTTTTTTGGATAGCGTCACGAGTCTCACGCGTTGTAGATCAAGGGATTACAGTTACGATTAGTGTTTACGATTAGTAAAACCAAGTCGATGACCGATCGCTAAATTCATCGTTAACACGTCGACTGACAGATTTAACTCTCCCATGGAAACCTCTGCAGTGCTAACATTTAGTCTCGATGCGATCAGAGACTGTAGATAATCTAATATTTCTCGCACTACTTATATTAGGCCGTCTTCGGCGTGAACTTATGGGATGACCTAATATCTTTGTATTCCTATCAAAATGTACGAGCTCCATCCAGATTTATTTTCGTTAACACCTAGCACTCGAGATTAATTATTCAATTCCTCGAAAAATTAGGTGAAAATCCAGTTTGAAACGCAGTCGATCCCCTCGATCGAACTTTGCCCATGCCTGTTACGAACGAGCTCCGATGCGCCGGGCGCATTCCCACGCGCGTGTCTCGACTGATTTGTAAAATTCTCTACGGAAATATTAATAGTCAATTTATCGGTTAGGCGAGGCCCCGTCGGATCGAGTGATCCGGGCGTAGTTTAAGCACTTGTACGAATATTGTAAGTAACGTGCATCTCGGTGTGCCGGTGCCGCTCGTACTGCGCCGCGATCGGTACCGAGCATCGCTGTATATTTGTCCTAACGATTGTCGTCTTGCGTATTGTTCCCCCGGTGAATTTGTGATATTACGTTTCCCGCGGCCATTTGTTCCACGTTTACTTTCGTGCGAATACAACGAACCGTAAGCACCAAGAAACGCGTCGAATCAGTACTGCTTTGGAATTTTTTTAATTTTATAGATCGTTGTTTCTACAGCAATTATGTTATTGGTTGTTCAGACGGAGAGCTAATTGAGAAACAACCAAATTGGAACCATCGAAGCTTGTACTCTGTTTTTTTATTTGAACTGCCAAGCCAAGGCCAAGCCAAACCTAGGTACCGATCTATAAACGATTCCCAAAGCCATAATCGTGTCTCTAACGTAATCTAATTATTCCTACAGTCCTTGCAGCTTTGATTTATAATTAAAGCTCCTACTCTGTTTTTTTATTTGAACTTCCAAGCCAATGTACCGATCTCTAAACAATACCTAAAGGCATAATCGTGCCTCTATCATGCTCTAATTGTTCCAATACCTAATTCTAATTATTGCAACTATGATTCTCCTTGCCACCTTTCTCCTCGACTTCAGGCTCGACGTTTCCTGGTGTTCGTTCGTTAGGTTCGTTTTCGTTTCGTTGTTTCATTCTCACCGTCCTTCGTACCACACCCCTTCGTTTCTCCGGCCATTCCTATCGTCGATTTCACCCCGCCAAGTAGATTCTAAGCAGAGAATAGTATTCGACGGACTGGCGCTGCGGGAGGACGAACGGTTTTGTCGTTGAGTAACTGATGATAATGAGTTGAGTAGCGAGCGCGAGCGCGCACGTGTGTGTATGTCTGTGTGTGCGTGCGTGTGTGTGTGTGTGTGTGTACAGTGGCAAGAAAAAAAAGAAGAAGAAGAAACGATTGCCCCGCGCGATTCTTTACGGAAATCGAAACGATTTCTTGGAGATTGGCTTTGCGCGAGGAAAATTCGAATGGTACGAATTGATTTGGAACGAAAGTTGCGCGAAGTCGCCAAACGCGATCCTTGATATTATAACGTAACGTAAACGGAATAAGTATAATTCTAAACGAGGTGAACATGATTTCGAGAGTTGTAATAATTTATCGGATCATTCGGCAATTTCTTTCAACCTTTCTCTTTCATCGAGATACTTAATATAATAAATCTAGGAAGTATAAACATAATCGATAAGCGTATTTATAACTGTTCGAGGTACGTTTGTAATAACGAAGAAAGTCTCTGTTTATTTAAACTGTGTATGTATATTTTTCTTTTTTTTTTTTCTTTTTTTTTTCACGCAGTTGAATCCACCAGTATGCAAAGTCGACCTCCGAGATTTCCTCTCTGATAAGCGCGATCAGCGTAATTCGTCACATCAGAACGATCCATTCGCTCGACCTAGGCACCTCGAGAAACTTCCACGACACTCGGTTACATGCAACTTTGTACCTCACGTATCACGAATATACACGAAACAATACACGAAGCACGATTACGTTACTTTTCTTCGAACAAACGAAAAACGTACCGTCTCGTCTAGAGTAGAGCAATCAGCGACGAATTTATCCGTTTCCGTAATTCCCTTGAAAAATAATGCCACCGACGGAACGTGTACTTACTTTCGAAACCAAAGAGAAATAGCAACGAGGAATAAATGAAGGATCGAGCGCGAAAATAAGAAGAAAGAAACTCACTCATTCCATAAGATCATTCTATCGCGGTTGCCGCGAGAGCAACCTTTACTTTTAAGAATTAGAGGCTCAAGAAATCTTCCTTCTCGCTTCTTTTTACTCTGCGTAGCGATAATTTGGTATAGTAAGCTGACGGACGCCTAAAACTTTTCGTTACGTGGCTCGTTAAAAATAATCGACGCTGGAAACGTTCTCCGTTTCGACAGCGAACACTGACGAGTATCTATCGCGCGCTGCGAGCGCTCGGAACGAACGAAATAGCGGAGTAAATGGAGCCAAGAAAGCGGAAAGCTGTAAATTACGTAGGATAATTAATTGTGAATATTTAATGGCTTTTTCTCGTCGCGCGACGTCCCCGTGCCATCTGTATTTTCGATTCGCGGATAGCGCATTTCGTTGAGCAATTTGCGCGAATGGTAAACAATAATTAATTTGAACGCGTGATCATTTTTGTACAAAGAAAAAAAAGGAAATTCTCGACGTGGCGACACCCACGTGGCGACACGTTAAGAATCGAGTTCTGTTAACGAGACACCATCTGTACCATACACGGCATTCGAAATCACACGGAAAGCAATCGATTTACAACCGGTGAATCAACGAGCGATCGGTGGTAATTTAAGGTACTCGGTGAAACACACAAACACGGCTCAATTTTTTTACCAAGAACAGGTTCAGCATCCGAGACTGAGGTATCGAGAACAGAGATGGGCAAAATATTTATCGAGAGAAAATATTAATGTAGATATCGAAGGACGATAACCCTTTGGCCTACAACCACGAGCGAGACTCGTGGGTAAGGAATTTGGTCCATAAATAATAAACACGAGTCAGGCTCGTGGCACTTCGTTCGGACTTCCTATCTTCCTGTTTATTATGGCCCGAGCAATCGGGAGACATAGCGTGTAGGTCGTGGGGTTAATGGATTAAAAGGAATTTTGACCACAGAATGAAATATTTTCTAACGAAGAATCGGGAGGATGCACGTTGATTTTTGGTTGTTGCCTGTTACTCGAATGAAATTTTGTCCATCTCGACTGAGAGGAACAACGAACGGAAAAGCAATGCGTACTTATCCTCGAAGAGATCTCAGTGCCACGACAGGGAGACGGAAGTGTCCGTTTCTTTTCGGACGTGGCGCGTAATCTAAGAACGAACGATGAACGTGGAGTAGGGCTGGGACTTTCTCGAAATTTTTGTCGATGCTCAACCTACGCAAAAAAGACTGTTAACGATTTCTTTGTACACATTCTTACTTATTTTATCCTTCTAATTACTAGTTCGCTAATCGACTGATCTCGAGACGTGACATTTCAGTATTCTATTTGCATTATTATACCTGTGCGAATAGTGCTTAAATAATAACGAATCGATAATTGCTATTACATTCGTGGTCCCAGTCCTAACGTGAGCTGATCCTAACATATCTGTAAAACTTTTTCTAACCATTGCCCGATCGTGCATACGGAAACGCGATGGCGCCCAAAATGATTTAACCCCTTCGTACCCAGTTTATATTGTTCTCATTATTTCTTACGGTTACAATGTTTCAGTACAATGATGAATACCTACATGTTTTTATATATGTACATTTACTAAATACTTTTTATACGTTCATTCGGTAAATTCAATTGGAACGTTTACACGTTCAGAATACGATCAGCCCTTTCAAACCTGGCGTCCACAATTGAGGACATGTAAGAATCACACGAGAATCATACATTAACGACACTATCGTTTAGGGCGAGTGTCATTTGTGCACACGAAGAAAGACCAGTTTTCCTCGAAAACTATAATACATATTTCATTCGATAAATCTTCTTCCTTTTACACGACGATCAACCATTTTATAACACAGCAACATGGATTTAATAAAAAAAGTATACATGTCGAATTGAGTAAGCTCCTCCATTTCGAAGTCGGTTAAAAATAATATTTACCGCGTCCAGGCACGAAGGGATTAAAGAGAAAAACGACTTCGAATGAACGTTTGATTTTAAAAAACGGCACTAGTCCGCCATCGTCGAAGCTCGACGATCGATGAATTCTTTTTGCGAGTTCGAAACTCTTTCTAACTCTGTCCCTCTCTCTACCTGTCTCTCTTTGTTACTCGCCGTCTCGACGCTTTTAACGCGAAACTTGGATTTGTGACTAGGAACGAGCGCGAACGCAGAGGAAGGAAAGAACGCTCCTGAATTAAGGGGAATGAGGACGTTTGATTATATCTGACCAGACACGGCTCCGCGGTCTCTTTTCTCTCCTCGAAATACACCTCTGTTAAGCTGGCAGGACCAAATCAGCTGAATCATATCGGACTTGGTGGAATATTTAGTACTTGTTTTGTACTAATTTGTACCACAAACAGTAATTTTCTACCCCCTGCCGTTTAAAAAAAAAAAAACATGGCAGAAGGTACGAAGTTACTGTGGTACAAATGAGTACAAAAAAAAGTACTAAATATTCCACCAAGTTCGATCTGATTCTGCTGATTTGGTTCTGTCATCTTGAGAGAGGTTCAAAATACTATACTGCTCAGGCCACTGGAAATATCATCGGTTGGATACTGTTTCTTCTTGTTCGGAAGAAACAAGTCTCTTACCCTGCCTTTCACGAAAATTCAACTCTTTTTTCCTTGAATTCTTCACTGACTTTGATAAGAGATCGATGTATTTACTAAAAATTTTATGCAAGTTTCCCCAACACTTTCCCAATAAATTATCATTACCTCGCACCCAACCGGACGTATTTCTGGTCGCTGAGCAAACATAACCGCGTAGTCTCGGTCGGTGCAGACCTTTTTCGATGGCGAGAGTATCGATAGTTTGGACGTAACGCGCGCGTCAGTGTGACGTGGGAAAAGGAGGAAAGTTGTCGAGGGAAAACGAACGAAAAACGTATAAATCGAGGAGATCCGACCTATCGCCGTCGGTCAGCGAGGATGGAGAAACCACTGTAATATATACACTTCGATTGTAACGATGTAACGCTGCCACTGAACACATCCCGTGTAGTACAATTACCGTACATATAATATTCTGCAGTATACTGGTACACACCGTATTATTAATTGAATTGATATTTATTAACGATTAATTATTACATTATTACCACTATATTATCTATACCATTTGTACTTTATATTTCAGTTCGAACGAAATAAATGCCTTCTTTTTCATAAAAATAAAACGTAACGTTCTGATTCATAGAAGCTCCTCCTTCTTACTTTCGTCAGTGCACCAGAAGTTTCAACGGTAAATTATTTACAATAATTTTTAATAATTATTCGTATGTCTAGCACAACTCCCCGTCAATAATATTTGCTATTGATATCATCGCGACTTTTGCTGGGGCTCTTTCTACGAATTTTGCAACGACATGGTTTGGTCTCTTCGTGCAAGAACGGAAGTTCCTTCTGCAGTCTTCTGTACAGTTTTTTCGTTGTATGCGGCAGGAAATGCGATACTCCGCAATCCCTGTAAAAGAAACTTGTCTGCGTTAACGATAAAAGTGCTGCATCGTTGCATATTCTCGCGACTACTTTTTTTTTTCTTCTTCATTTTACGAAAATCACGAGACACGCGAATGGTACCTGATAATCGTGAAGTCTACTGAACTTGTAACGTGCAGCGTGAGAAGAAAAAACGTAATCGCCACAGTGTACGTCACCGGAGCCATCAGAGACATGTTATTCAGAACCATGGCTGCGGCATCTTTCAATTCGAGCTGATAAAGCGCCTGATTTATCGAAAGACAGAATTTTAGAATCACATTACCCAATTACTAACGCTTTACTGAATCCGCCAAAGCTGAGTAATTTATTGCTAGTCGATCGAATTTATTATCGAACGGTTTATTATTAATTTCGATTTGTTACGTTACGTGGGAAACGTTCGTTGGCAGTGTCGTCATAAGAAACACGTCGATCGGTGTCCAAATGCAGGCAGTTGAGAATTCCAAGAGAAACGCCGTGGCTAGAAACTGAATTTACAAAAGAAATGAAGCAACGATGTAAAAAATGACATTCAAATATTCGCATAAAAGAAACCTATCCATAGAAAAATTTTTCGTTGCGATTTTCGAGTTTGTCACGCCAAAATACATAAGAAAAAAATTGTGGCATCGAATGTACTTTTTTTTTTTTTATTTTTTAAACTAGTGCAATAATAATAATACGAAATAATAATTGCAACTAACCTCGTACATCACTAGAAAGGCAATTTTCGGTTGACGAAATGTACGCGGAAAGAGCGTGGAATTAACGATGATCATGTACACACCGACACTGAAGAAAAACGAACTGAACCGCGGTCCACGAAGAAGACATTCACGGTCTTCGTCTTCCATGGCATTGTCGAAGCAGGTTCGAAAAATCCGAAGCCCGAAAACGTTCAACAAGAACGGCCAGATTGTGTGGAGCAGCTTTCCCATTTCGAGAAATGAACTAAACCGAGGGCTGAACCACTGGTTCTTAAAATAAAATTGAGCTAAATCTGTGACAGTTAATCATCGTGCTTTGATTGTTTTGTTTTTATGTGACAACTGAATCGAACGTATCGACTGAATTCAACCCCATTAAAATGAATTTCGAGATTCGAATGGAGAGTGCTTTACGAAGAATATTCAACTGGAAAGTAAAAGACGTTTTATTACAAATATACAATCGTACAGTAACATGGACGAATAACATAAAAATATATATATATATATACGTTATATAAAATGACAAATTGCATTAAATCACACTTCTGGCTATGGGTTTGCGTTTGGTAGATCTTTGCTGCACATGAATTTATAGACGAACCAATCGGTCACTTCGGGATTTGCGAAACTGATCTTCTTTCGTTTGCACTTGTTGAATATCCAGAAATTATTGCTTCGTTCGCTAAACACCAGAATTTTAATGATCATTCGAAGCAACGTAACGTTTACGATGCAGATAATGAGCGAGAGACTAGCTTGGGAAATAACACCAATTAATTATCATAATGATTAGCGTGATTCTCGAATTTATTTTTTAACCGTAAACTGCTTGACCGAGAAAAGAAAAACTTAAAAGGTGCTCTACAATGCTGGGAGGTGTCTTACAAAACTAAACATCACTGGTTCACTACTTGGTCCAGATGTCCAGAATCGCGTCCAGGGATTCCGTAGCGTCCAGCATCCACACGAACGTCAAAATGGACGTGCAAAAGGACATGTGCGTCACGACGCTCTCCTTTTCCATGTAGTAAGCGAAATCGGTCAGAAACGAGTACTGACTCAGTCCTAACTCTCCGTTCAATTTGTGCAGCTGAAAAAGAAGCTCGTTGGAAAAATCTTTCTCCGAGAAAAATAAAGAAATGCAACTAATCCTGAATTGACATTTAATATTCTTCACGAAGAGGCTTACGAGTACACTCGATTCCTGAGTTAAACAACGTATGACGTTCACGAATGGCTCCCAAATGGCGTGCATCGCTAAATTCGTAGTCAGAGCGGCTATCAGCATCTGTACAAGCGTGGAGTTAACGAATGAATAGTAAAGTTGCAGGTTGAATTAATTTTTTTGTCGAGTATTTTTTCAGTTTCAATAGTACCAAATAAATACAATTAAATAAAAAATATTTCGAATGGTTTCCAATGTATGTTGACGTTTTATTTTTTCCTAACTTCAACAGTAGCCTTGCCTACTAGATTCTAATTTCTGTATCATGTGTTATCGTATCGTTTTACTTCGTAAATATAGAGAAGCTGTATCGGTGGCTCCTTGAGGGTCCTGGGCCAAAGTTTGTACTCCGCGAGGAGGCACAGCACGGAGAACGTGAAAAGCGCCGAAGCATAAGAGGGATCCGTACTCCTGTCGTTGAAACACAGTCCGATTATGTAAATTTCCCGAAGATGAGTGTACATTCCAGCCGCGACCACAGCCACCCAATGAGGATTTATGCATCCCAGGAATTCCTTGACAGTCTCCATGTCCTGCTGATAAAGAATCGTGTCACTGTTTTCTACCAGAAACTATCGTAATGTGTCTCAAAGACGAACTACACACAGTCAGTGTAAGAAGCGTTCGTACAGTAATTAATTTCAACAACCATTTCGACATTATTCATCAACAAAATTTTAACAAATAAATAATATATACACGTTCGCTTAAAATAACTTTCTCTATAAATGAATATATGAAAAAATGAACATTATTGCGACAAAATGCTCGGGAAGACGTTACGTACTAATCACTTGCAAGAAGGCTTCAAATTCATCGAGCAGTATCAGCGAGCCTCGATTCAAGACAAAAGCCTCGGAGAAAGATCGTACTCGGATTGAATTTTTCTTCTTTATGGAAGCAGTCCAGATATTCCCGGATATAAAAGGCAGTCTTAAAAACTGAAGGGAGAAAAGTTCACGAGTCTAGAGACGCGAATTAAAATGGCACCATTGATCGTGTACGAGCACTGCATACCATTAAATGTTTTCCAGTAAATCCGCGAAGTGGGTTCGCAGACGAAAACTGATATTAGGAATGTATTTATCCGAGGGTGATTCTGCTTTTGGACGTAGTGGCCCTCTGAGAAAGAGATTCATTTACTGATGACATACAGCCTTCGATTTGGGGTCCCTTTTCCGAGTGGGCAATTTAACAGGAGCTGCAGGCGTCTTCGTAGACTTTGACTGTTAATTTAACATTCCTGTGTATTTCTTCCTTCATCGACGTGCTAGGTTATGGCTGTGACATTTGTTTTTATAGAGCAAAGCCTTCTCGAACTCGTTCGCATGTTATCGAACGAACATCGATCGATGGTTTCACGTCAGTTCTAAAATGAATTATATTAAAATGATTAGAGTTTATCAGAGTTTCAGTATTCTATGATCGTATCAAATCTACGACGATTGTTGATTCTGTTAGAACCGAAACATCAGTCAGAGTACATAACAGACAGTGGATGGGAATTACAATGAATTTTTTCGTGTATATTAAACTTACTCGAAGAATAACCGCTTGGTACGATTAGAAATAAAATAAAATTGTGACAGGCCATAAAATGTAAATCGAGATAATTATTTGCTTTTTGCGAGTTCGAAACTCTTTCTAACTCTGTCCCTCTCTCTACCTGTCTCTCTTTGTTACTCGCCGGCACGACGCTTTTAACGCGAAACTTGTATTTGTGACTAGGACCGAGCGACAACGCAGAGGAAGGAAAGAACGCACCTGGATTAAGGGGAATGAGGACGTCTGACTATGCACGACCAGACACGTCTCCGCGGTCTCTTTTCAAAAATCATGGCGCTGCTAGCTTAAGTATTTGCTACGATACATTTATTTATTCGTTTCAGGGAGCAGAGTCCATTTTCCTGTATCGATCTTACAATTTCACTCCATGAAAGTGACAGGAACAATGGAGTTAAAAAGGAAAAAATTCAAACCGAGGCTAACGTGACGCGGAACGGGCCACAGGTCGAAGGCAAATTCGCGCGCAAGTAAACTCCATTAAACTCAAATGTAAACAGTGCCCCGAAGTGGGCACTTTTGCGTCCTTTCGCGTCCTCGCCAATCAGAATTCAATGAATCGAACGGTTCACGATAAAGCGCTGTGCCACCACTTGGACGATCCTTTGGCTGACGGTAACCATTTTCCTGAATTTAATGAAAAACCTACAAACTGTCCTATTTTTAACTGGTATCGTCAGGAATTCCGTAGAAAGAGAATAGCTTATTTATTAGCCTCGAATCTCCATCTCGATAAATACGAGAACACATGCGCGAGAAGTAACGCGCGAGTATTGTTCTCACTTATGGCAGCGCTTAAAGGGACTCCTTCCTCCGAAACGGGGCCATTTTACTCGAATATCGTTCACTCATACATAATGCATTGCATTTGCCGATAGCTTTTCCTCTTGCCAGCCACGAAACGAATGGCCGCGAATAATGCACCGCTTCTTTCGTGTCAGGTTTCCCCTGATTCCGACCGTTGATCGCATTAACGCGATTTCGTCAGCGAGAAATGCTACTGTTAACGACGAAACACTCGCGAAACACGGATGAATATTTCTACGTTCGACGAAAAAATAATAATCGAAAAGTTTGTATTTATCTACACTTTTCATTTCGAGTGGGTTTCGAAATAAAATAATTCGAAACGAAGGCCAAGGATGTTATAGTTAACCAGGTGGGAATTTTTCGCGGTGAAAAATGCAATCGCAGGTGACAGTTGTGACGAGGGTGTGTTAATACCGAAGGATGATCAAAGCTCCCAGAAGGGGACGATTCGATGACTCAAAGCCCGCGGATTCTTACAGGATAGAATAGCCGAGCAACTTTAGTCAAAGGAAACGTCGGGCCATGGGACACCAGGAAATTGTCCTTCCAAGCTCGAATCCTTCCCTCTGTTAATGACATTTTCTCTATATAGGAAGACCCGAGCTAGGAAGTTCGAGCGTACGGTCCAAGGGAGGATTGTAACCACCTCGACGGAAAGGTAAAATTGATGAATTGGCTCGAGTGGAAGTAATTAATATCAATAATTATATGCAGTGTGGTATTCAAGGAATTTCTTTAGTTATTTATTAACACGTTGTACGAGTGACAATACTTTTCAATGAAAAACTACAAAAATTAATTTTGAAAGTGAACCATTAAAGAAAATGAATTTCAATGTCACACTTGAACTTGGATGAAATTACAAAAATAAATACCACGATAAATGTTTGATTACGTAGTCTCCACTAGTCTGTAAATAAAATTTAATCACGGTAGAAATTTCCAAGAGTATTAGTCTGGCAGTCAACGTGTCAGTAAACCGTTTGAAACGTGTTTAAGGAAGCAAAGAATATTATTTATCTCTAAAGATCCGAATCTTTTCAAATAAAGATATTAATCATGAAATAAAGAATTGTTAAGTAAAATACCAGCGCAACTTTTCCACCCTCATCATCCCCCTTTCTTCGTGTATTTTTCCCCCATAAAAAAACTGTTCAAAGACGACAAATATTCTCAAGAGCAAGATTCCAAAAGAAAATATCGTCGACTGCAACGATGATCGCGTCCGTTGTAAGAAAATTCATAGCGCTGGAACGCTTCCGCGGAAACGAGAAGTAAAATGGCCTGATATAAAGGAGGACATGTCCTAAGAGGCAGAAGATTATCCAAGACGATGGTAGCCTTGACGACGGCACAGTGTATCGAGGAAAAGTACATTCGTTTCTTGGCTCGCCGACGTCTGAATAAGGGAGGCGAATCGAAGAGGGAAACGAAGGTGCGGAAAGGAGCTCAACCGTGGAAAAGTTGATGGGGGAAGGAGGAGGGATGAAAAAGGAAAAAGTCCTCACTGTCCTTCCTCGACGAGAACTCGGCCACTTTACACTTTTTTCTGTTTCAGCCACCCAAGAGAACTCGTTCTTTAGAGAGCATCCTTCTACGCATTTACTCTACCACTTGTCGGATCAAGCCTTCCTTTATTTTTCGCGTAATCCGTGACATGAATTTTAATTTCCATCTTGTGATTGCGTGCGACACAAATTTTATAATAACGCGGGGGTAGTTGAGTTGGAATTTATTTATTTATTTATTTCGCTCTTCCATTATGGAAGCGAAGTCGATTTATTAAAATTAATCAGGGGGCTTGGACAAAAATAAATTTCTATGCTGGTCCTTTTATGGTCCTTCTAAATGGTTTACAAACATAGAATACGTTTTCTGTGGTCTATAAGGATAGCGTTAAAAATGTTCGACGAGTTTAAAATTCGTTGATAATCAAGGGCAATCGGTTATTCGTATTATTAAACAGAGGAGACGTTAATAAAATGATTAAGATAATTAGGATCTACGAGACTATGCTCCAGCGAATGATCCAGCAATCCATCGAGGAACTACATAAACGTAACGATGCATTATTGATAACCAGTTACCTCGACGAAACGTATTAGTAATACACTCGGGCGAACCTTAATGCAAGGTCTTCGCGTGAAAGTAAATCTGTATCGCTGCCGTTCGACTAGTCGCTGTAGGAACGGTTATAAACAAGCTGTTTTAATTAATAGACTGCGAACACGCAAGGAAATCTTATTGCCAAGGTATTGCGTTCGATTCCCCGCGCATTCGTATTCCCGTTTCTCGGTGAATGAGTCAGTGCCGAGATTCCTGGCTGAATTTTCCGTCGAAGGGGAACGCAGAAGTCGGCTTGGAAATCCCGCCACTGTGTTTGCTTCCGAGAGGACTCGACGCGCGTCACGACGCTCGCGATTGTACCGAGCACCATAAGCTATCTGCTAAAGAGGGCTTCGATCGAAAAGTCGGAAGCTACAGGTTTCCTCTTTGCAGCAAACTTGTTGAACGTCGACGTTCCCGTCTCGACATTTGTTACGAATTAATGCGAAAGGATTATCTTTCGACAGCCGAAAGATTGCTTAATTCACTGCCAGGCAAACTTAAGACGTTTTTAAAGCCTCGGGCACCGAGATTTCATACGGATGTGTAAGGCTAGGTTATTATTTTGATAATAAAAAATGGTATTAAATTTGTTGTTTCGAAAAAAGATTTACGATTTTCTATTGCAATCATTCGTGACTCAAAAGGATGTAAATTTATCCCTCGAGTAATTGCAATCAACTTGAACTAGGTGACTAGGACACTCGAACAAAGGTTCGATTGTATAAGTGGATCATCAAAGTGTATAACACCGATCAAACTTACGTGAAATTCTAGGTTATAAAAATAAATCCTGCAGTCATTTTTTATCTTTTAATTTGCACGAGTCTAGGCAACGGTGATGAGTTTTTGCTAATTTGCGCTTTAACGCGTACAGATGACTTTATTTTTTCCGTGTCGTTGTTGCATTTACAATTTGAAACTCTTATCGCGCTACCAGTAACGTAGGTTTTTACAGACGTGAACATTATGCTCACGTGTTTTTTGCGTCGATCGTATTTGTAACGACTCGGAAACTACTTGTATCTCGATCGTAACATTGAAAATTAAAACAACAGTAAAGAACCTCTTCGCTTTATTTTACAGGAACAATTCATCGCATTTGTCCCGAATTGTTTTCATGTCAACAACGTCCTCTCCTCTTAAATCTTGAATCTCCACTTCGATAATCGTCGGAGCCGCGGATAGCTCGTTCGGAATACAAATACCTTCGAGTTTCGTCTGGTTTCGAGCGACCTTCGATGCTCGTCCGCGAATAGAGGTGCAATTGTGTCCACCGTGACAGCGAAAGTTCGAAACTGGTTAGACGAACGCATAAACTGTTGCAGGATCGGACAATATAAATGTCGAGGCGAATTTTTCAAGACACGGTGGACCAACAGGAACAGCCGACTTCGGAGCGCGTTAATTCGATTCCAACGGTCTGAATGGGGCCTTGATTTCGAACTTGAAATCGAGTTACAATTCGCGCCGCTGTCTCTGGCTTTGATTCTCAAAACGATATTACGCAGTTAGACGTTATTAAATAACGTTCGCACTCGACCGTATTCCGCTTCGTTTGCTTCGAATTGATTCCCCGTGAATGACGCCGATAATGACACTTAAATACGTTGCGAAGGTGCTCGAGTCTCCAACGATTGGTGACTTGTACCAACGATTTACACGGTCGCCGTGTAACCAGGGATAATCGAACCTGAATGGAAGAAAAACAGAGCATTTTTTGGTCTGAGGTTGATGCACCTAATTTTGGACTGTAATCGGTCATCGACTCTGTTCCACGTGCGAGACATACAGTGGGGAGCAAAACTGAATTTATTATCATTGAAATAAGTAATAACGAACAAAAAACCAACGATGATCATTATTTCTCTGTAGCGTCAAGAAACTTACGCTACTTTATAACACGTAAAATTTGATCTTCTTTGGCTGTAATAATGGAAATTCATGGAATCAGTTTTGCACTTTAATTTCTCATCCTAAGATTTGCAAGTTTTATTATATATCGATATTTTCTCTATAATCCTCTACCTTTAATGGCAGTAAAAAAAAATGTTATTTGCACTTCATTAGATGCTTTATTTTCTTAAATATTGTAGAGGAAAAGCGAGTAGCTTAACCCAGACCACTGTCGAATAATACTTTAGTTATTGCGACACTTTACTAACCTCGATAAACTCTTTATAGTTATTGAAATTCCTGAAAGCAGATAGATAAGAGTAAGTGTGTGTGTGTGTGTTTGTGTGTGACAGAGTTCAACGAGAGCGTGTGCGAGCCTTTACGAAACCAATTTCGTGCAGACAGTATCGAGAAGTGATAACGAGATAGTTAAGACTAACGACTTCTTTTCTGCGTTTGCGAAAAGGAAGAGCAAAATTAAGACAGATATAAAGCTTATCTCTATTGTGACACACACTCGTAATTGATTCTCAAGGTTGCAATGGTCGTCAGTAAATTTTAAACATCGAGAATTGTGGTAAATACAGAGATTAGATCATACGTTAAAATTGGTTTAGGAAAATTATATGGAAGTTAACGAGTGCTTTTAACCGACTTCGAAAAGGAGGGAGTTACTCAATTGGACACTTATATTTTTTTTGTTTTTTTTTTTTTAAATCCAATGCTGTAAGAAATCGAAGCAACTTGGGCGAAATTTTAATGAAATACAAATCGATACGTAGCTTCACCCAGCGTATTCCAGACTGTCAACAAACTGCAATCCCGCCAAACTTCCCTCGCTCAGCAACTAATACTATCAGGGATCACAAGCGTGCCAGAATTCAATAAGCCCCCATCGTCGTCAAGATTGCCTCTCCAATCACACAGAGATTGCGACTTAAGAAGGTTCAATTTTCTAGCTACTATATAAAACTCCTACTTGAACAACTCCAAAGATGTTCACCACCAAAAATTCCAAACTGTCACCAAATTCCCTTAACCCCTTGGCTGCCAGACCGAAACTCAAGAAAATTTCTACGAAGTAAACATTTCGTTTTCAGGCTATTACAGATTGGTTAATTTTAAATTTATTAAGTATTTAAGGAGGGGAAACCACTGTAATAATTTAAATATATAATTCAATATTTTTAATACGTGTAAATAATTGATTCGCCATTAGGAGTTTTATATAGCAGTTAGAAAACTAAACCTTCACAAGTCGCAATCTCTATATGATTGGATTTAAATGTATATTTATTATCGGCTCGCCTAAGAAATTAACCCTTTGCACTCGAGGCCTTTTTCTCTGGTATCTGCCAGCAACTCGAGATGACGCTTTCTAGGATTCTATTGTCACGAATGCTAAGATTGACTTCTCGAATGAGATCTCTAATTTGAGATTTGAAAATCAGGTCACCTTCGCTTATTGACACTTCGAGTTCCAAAGAAATGAAACCTAAAGGAAACCCAGTGGTGACTGAGAGTCACCTCTCGAGTGCAAAGGGTTAATTTGTTTAGTTCGTCGATGAAAAGGCTTGTCGCCCGTTTCTGTGGCGAGAAATGTGTTAAACTCCTCCCTCGACAAACGCAATCAAACCTTGCAGGTCGACGACGACGAGTTCACCGATGCCTAAAACTCCAAACAACACCGACGGGATTCCCTCGCGGATCAGCGAGGAACAACGACTAACTAGCACGGTCGTTAATCGCGGTCCAGCATCCAACCAATCCTTCCCCTCCACGTTCACCCAGTGCCGTTCTCGAATTTCACCGAATCCTTATCGATCTCGGAGCCAGTCGTCGAGATAAATCGTACGGTCGATTCAGGTGCGAGGGGATCTACCTGCGCAGGTCGTAATCGCGATCAGTCGAAAGGGTCCGACAAGTGCCGACGTCGCTCGAATGGTGGGGCGGTACATAAAGCGAGAACGCGGACACGAGACGAGAAATATCACGCCGACACTCGCGGATCGTGGACCGCTCGAGAACACTCGGGGATCGCTCTCGACGCGCAACGTCCCGCCCAACCGGATCCACGTGGATACAACTGTCACTGGTACGCGCTGCTCACCCTGAGACGTCGAATCCTGGTATGTAACGCATGATTGGAGTTATAGTAGAACGATTTCGACAGCGGTCGAATGGATCGATAGGAGTTGAACAGGATGGGAGAGAAAACAACTGTGTCGACCGGTTGACGACGTCGTGTATGTTCTTCTTTGAGTGTTTCTCAAAGAAGGAGATGAGTTTAGAGGTTGAACGGTGGTTTAGAATTGGGTACACCGTTTGAAAATTATGGTGGGTGTTGGGTACATTGTATTTATTGTGTTGTCGTGAATTTGACTCTCTTCTTTATTTTAGAAAAGTATATGTATTTTTTAATGGAAGTTTGAGAGTGTATAATATGTCGTGTGACTGTGTCCTATCTGTATATTCATTCAATTTTTAAGTACCATTGATTCTTTACATATGCAATTTTGGTAATATTGAAAATAATGAATTCGATAAATATTAATGTATATTGTAAGAAATTTGCACAGTAGATGAAAGTATCGAGTTGGTTTAGTGAACCACGAGTGTGGTCCTTTAATAATTCCATTCAGAAAAATTCCACCCGTCCCATTTTTATCTTACATTCGATACACAATGAAATAATTTCATCGTACCGTTTACTTAGACTCCACAGAGCAATTAATCCACAACGTGTTGCTCAATATTCTTACCTGGAAAATATCAAACATTCCAATGCATATATTTAATAATAACTAGAATAGTCTTCGATGTAGAGAACGCACGGATCTCGAGCATTGCAAAATTATAAAACAACGATTAAAGATCCTGCTGCATTTGTCCCCAACTATGCTTCCACTATAATCGCGTACAACTGTAGTTACATCATGAGTAACCGTTACAAGGCGTACGAGAATTACCAGCAAAATAAACTTTCTTCTCGCTTAATTAGTTGCGATGGCATAGATAAATGCAAACGATAAGAACATGCATGGAAACATTTATTAGAACGTAGGCGACGGAATTATTTATTTAAACGCATGCATGGCGTCGTTAACGTTCGTTATAACGTATTTTCGAGTATTTATTTATATAGTCCAGATAATATAAATTTATTTCAATCGGACAAATCCGAACGCTCGTTAACCTCGGAATAAATGCATTGCCATGATAAAGAACGGCATTGCTGTAACACGCATCGAATTACGCGCGTAGGTGTGAGTTCGCGTTCGTACTAACAGTGATCGTTTTCTATCTTTACGATTGCAGCATTTTCGACGAGATTCCTTTCGCTTTTGCGACTACTCGCCTAATGAGACCCTCCTTAGTCTTCGGCATCTCTTTTTATTTTATTATTATTTTTTTTTTTTTTTTTAAGTTAACAAAAAGTAAAATATACTCTTGTTTAATTAATACGACCACGGAGGTTTATTTTGTTAATATCATCAATTCTATAATTGATCTTTAACAGATTTCGAGAAACAGATCTTCCGTAATGGAAAACCTCAATGATCGCGAAAAATTGTATCGAAGTTACCAACGTACGCGTCGGGAAATTGAAAGTCACGACTGCTTGGAATTTTAATTCCTCTTCGTTCCCCCCTACGGGACCTGATTACTTCCATAAATTGCATAAATCTCGCCGGGCAAAAGCGAACGGTTCAAAGTTTCAAGCTTTGCTCTCCGTGTACCTTTTATCGAATATTAGAAAGGTTGTGAGAACTCGAGCAAATTCGGGGTAACAATTAGAAATTGAAAGGTGGAAGAGTTGAGTAATTCTCGTTGAGCAACTCGTGAAAAGAAGGCGAGAACTCGATTCCTATATAAGAACATAATAACGGCGGCCTTGTTCGATCGTAGCACGAATTAAAGAAACGATAATCGCGGTCGATCTATACCGAATATTGCAACGACATTATAAAACGTTTCCAAACGTTAGAAGGTGGGCTGATCTCGGTCTTATTGATAAGAGTAATCGTTACACAGTAATCTGGTTCGGTTTATCGCGCTGACAATTTTTCTTCGATTATTAAAGCTTCGATCGAAGTACTAATTCATAGTTGCTCGATTTGTTGAACATTTGCCATCGTCCGTGGCAGTGGCGTGACAATTATTCAAGTATGTTGGAAACTGTACTTCGGATAAAAAATGAAAGAAAACTCGTTGCCACGCCTCGAGTAATATTTCCTAAGAGGAAAAATGGTTTCATTGACACGGTACTGGGTTTTACCAAGAAGACGTCACTTGCTCAAACGCAGAGAAATTACGCACGGACGCGTGAAGTATTATTTCTGTATCGTAAAGTGAATGACTCGAAATGGTTAGTACTTGCATTTCTGGTGCCGAGTATCTCCGACGTCATCGACGCGATCAGGGGAATCCCCTGTGGATTCCTCCAGTTCTGTGACGTTCGAGGATCCATGGTAAATCCTCGATCGTTTCCTTTCTCCGCGTGATACGAACCGGTCCAATTCCATCGGGTTTGAAAGAGGGAAAACTTGAAAATATTATTTTCTTTTTCCCTTAGCTCGCGTGTTCGTTGTTAATAATATCTGAAATCGTTACAATAGTTTGCTATCGACTAATTTAGCGATTTAGCGTTTGCTTACAGTTACGAAATAGTTAGTTTCACCAATTCTGCGATGTGTATCGTTAATTAGAAATATAAAAAAACGTGTGAGAAAAGTGCGAAAGATAAATTAAAGATAGAAAGTATTAAAGACGTCTACGAATATCTGTATTTTAAATGTTACGTAACGTTCCTGTAAAAGTTTATTAAGTCTGCATTCGCGATGACAATCAGTTACGATCGAGTTCCGGAGAACAGCCTATGACAAATCGCCAGGGGGAAAGGAGCCGAACGAAACCAAGCTCACAGAAATGAGTCATGGTCGTTATTCCTTCACGAGCCAACTTGTCTCCACTTGCCATGGAAACTGGCTGTAGATCATTGTGTAGAGATCAAATCAGTCCTACTCTTACTCGCCATCCAACAAAGAGGCACATGTCACTGCCTCCTACCTCGATTCTCAAGACCCACATCGAGAAGGCTGGTCTTGCCAATTATCGCAACGTGAGCGTTGAACGCTGCCAACGATAACGTCGTAGCTCGACGAACTATTCAACGAGATCTAGAGAGATTTTCACCGGGATTATCATCTCTTGATCGGTGGAAAAAGAAGTACACAAATTTAAAAGGCACTCTCTGTTGTATGAATTTTATTTTATTCTATTTTACTCTAATTTCACCTCTCTGATAAGAAATTATAAATGAAATTATCATCTCTGGATCGTAGAAAAAAAAAAAGTGCACAAATTTAAAAGGCACTCTCTGTTGCATGAATTTTATTTTATTTTATTTTACTCTAGCTTCATCTGTCATCTGAAAAGAAATTACAAATGGAATCGTATGGTCTACGCGTGAATGTTAATTGACTCGAGGTGAATTAGACAGCGACATTATTGAACACCTGGTACGAGTAAGAATCGTTAAATCTACAAATGAGCTTCGCGAGTTATATTCTACATACTTCGAGAATCAACAATTTTCATGTATCATTTTTCATAGCATTCCGTTCGCTTGGTCGCAACGGTGTGTTAAGATTGTATATTGCCGATCGCGATTTATCGTCGTTTATGATAACAGTCCGATAATGTATTCGCATTGCACAATATGCAATTTGAATACCAATTAACGAGGTATTGAAATGTTGCAGGAAACGCAAAATGGATCCCGACAGTTTCAAGGATTTCGCCAAGGATATGGCGGAATATATTACTAACTATTTGGAGAATATCAGAGACAGGTGAATTCTTTTTTTTATCGATTCCTGATGTCACATCCTGTTTCGTCGTCTTTCTGATTCTCCTCCATATCCTTACTCTGCGTTAATATTGTACGCGTTAATTTTTCAAAAAGACAAAATTGCACGTTAACAACAGTTTAAATAAATACAAATTATAGGAGAGTGTTGCCAACGGTGAAGCCAGGTTACATAAAGCCTTTGCTGCCATCGGAGGCTCCGCAGACACCAGAAAGCTGGAAGGACATTATGGCAGACATCGAAAGAGTGATAATGCCAGGTGTAAGTGCAGATCAATATTGTGCGAACATTTTATTTAAATATTACGTCTACTATGTACGATACAGTAGTCGTGTAACAACAGTAGACCGTTCGCAGACTATAAAAAAAAAAAAGAATAAGTAACGAACATTAGCTCCGCAGTTCTGATTGAATCGTAAATTTGCTTGTAGGTCACCCATTGGCACAGTCCAAGATTTCACGCATACTTTCCCACAGCTCAATCATATCCAGGAATTGTTGCCGACATGCTCAGCGGCGCTATAGCTTGCATCGGATTCACTTGGGTAAGAACCGAGATCGCATAATTATTCGAACGTAATTCTTCCTTCGTTCTACCGCAGTTTTTCCTTCTATCTTGCTGGTATCTTAAATTATCTTTGAATAATACCTGAATAATACCAATTCATTAAGTGAATCGTGCTAGGAGAGTTTCAGAAATTATTTTCCCCGAGGCAATTACAGGCGTACCCGTAATTATTTATCTAGTTTATTATCAGTCTACTATCACGGTATATTACGTAGTATTATTCAATTTTTGCGTGCAGATTGCGAGTCCAGCTTGCACCGAGCTAGAGGTAGTAATGTTGGACTGGTTGGGGAAAATGCTGGACCTGCCCAAGGAATTTTTAGCCTGTAGCGGAGGAAAAGGCGGAGGCGTGATTCAGGTAACCCATTGTTCAATAATATTTATAAATACGAAGCTCAGTCAATTCGATACAATCTCTATTGATATCATACAATAATATTTATAAATAGGAATCTCCGTGTATCGAATAAAATTTCTATTGATGTTATTTCGCTTTAATAATTACTCCTTCTTACGCGAGCACTCTAATAATACACACTGATGGTCGAATATTTATATTTAACGAACAATCAACAGTAAAATCCCGCGATAAACCTTTCGTAAATCGCGAACGATCGATTTAAATTCGCAGGGGACTGCGAGCGAAGCCACCTTAGTCGCTCTTCTTGGCGCCAAGGCTAGAAAAATAAGGCAGGTCAAGGAACAACATCCCGACTGGACAGACAACGAAATCGTGGCGAAACTCGTCGCGTACAGCTCTGGTAAGTAATTTTATCTAATTTAAAACGTACGAAGATATTAATATTACGTTATTCTATATTTAATGTAAGTATATATAGCACTGTACAAAAAAATGGAACGAACAAAAGGATTAAGGGATTAGCTGAATAGAAATACGAGCGCGTGCTCGACCCTGATTCTCCCGTAAACAAGATTAACGATGACGTTGGCCGGCGCTCTTTAACATTTGACAAAGGTTCGCGAGGTAGGGTTGGGGGTGGATTGACAGGGAGAGTATGGGGTTGCAGCACTTCATCAGCCAGCACTTTGTCACCATAGCAACGCGTAATAACCACTCGAGTTATTCCAACCCGACCAACCCCCTCGAACACCCCCGTACTCACCCCTTCGTGAGTCCAAGCTCTCTCTCTCACTCTCTCTCTCTCTCTCGCCACTTCTGTCTGCCGGCCACGTCGAAATCGCAGAAAGTTACCGCCGTGCAAAGGGATCTCGTAATTTCCTAGCGATATACGGTGCTGCAAAAATACACGAACCGAGATATTAGCAGAAATATAAATAATCGTTAAGAATAAATTATGGTATCTTCTGCGAATGTAAAGTAATTCGTTTAGATAGTCTTTATTCAACTTTCACTTAGTAAAAGTTATCCTGAAAGTGACAAAATCATTGTATCGCAAGCCCCGCGATCATTGTTTAAACAAACATTGTTAATAATTAATTTAACTATTGTCAGAAATAAATACTCAGTTGGTCGAATCGATAGATATTAAAATATCGACAACATTTAGAATACTTTTTCTGAACCGTGCTTCTTCTAATTATTTAATCGAAAACTGAAGATTACTGTATGCATTATACACGTTTACTCGATGTCAGAGATATTAATTTTTTGAATTGTTCCAAACAATAGATACGGATAGAACGAACAGATAGGTAGAATAAATTGACTCGAGCGTTCGTTTGATCATTGAGAAAAGAATGTCCACGTGATATATTAATATTACAGCAATATTACACCCACCCACATTTTTATTAGCATAATTTTGAAACATCGCTCTTGGTTGCCGGTACAATATTATGCGAATTATTATTATTTTGAAAGGAAAGAGACCCTCGGTGTCCCAAGGGACCGCCGCCATTATCGATAACCACCCTCTTAAACGATTGCGTCGTTCTGTAATTCCTTAGAAAAGAATAAAAAAACGAAAGTAGGATAATACAACGTCTTGGTGAATCCGTAATTAAAACTGCGTTATTAATATTGGAATGACTATACAGTCCATTTGTCATCCTTGACTAAAACAAAAGGATGAATAAATTCTAGGACAGTTGACAACGACTTATTTCGAAAGGAGACACGGTGAATGAATTTCTTTGTTTGTCTATTGTTCAGCTCAAGCTCACAGTTCTGTCGAACGTGCGGGGCTTCTCGGGGGTGTGAAGTTCCGATTGCTGGAGACGGATTCCAAGTACAGACTTCGCGGGGACACTTTTGCGGACGCCGTTCGCAAAGACAAAGAACAAGGACTGATTCCATTCTACGTAAGTATAAAATTAATCGAAAGCGAAGGCTGTTAAGAATCTACAAAAATTTACGTATTATTTATTCGATTGAATAAGAATTTTATCCATCGCTGTACAAAATGAAAATTTCTAATATTTCCAGGCTGTCGCTACTTTAGGAACGACCTGCTCCTGCGCGTTCGATCGTCTAGACGAAATGGGCGTCGTTGCGAATCGCGAGAACATTTGGTTGCACGTCGACGCAGCATACGCTGGTGAGCTGACTGAAAGTCTTTTTATTCATTCGCCATCGATCCACTTTAATCCAACGTCAATTTTCTGGCGATTACCGTTACAGGCTCGGCTTTCATCTGCCCCGAATTTCGATACCTGATGAATGGGATCGAAATGGCGGATTCGTTCAACTTCAACCCCCACAAGTGGATGCTGGTCACCTTCGATTGCTCGACAATGTGGCTCAAGGATCCGACTTACGTTATCAATGCGTTCAACGTCGATCCACTGTACCTGAAGCATGACATGCAAGGATCAGCGCCCGATTACAGGGTAACTTTACTATTTTTATTTTCGAAATCATAGCTAGCGGAGTAAGACGAAACTGGAATTGTCACTAATTCGATATATTCCTTTAGCATTGGCAAATTCCGCTAGGGCGAAGATTCAGGGCGCTGAAACTCTGGTTCGTGTTGAGAATTTATGGCGTGGAGAATCTTCAACGATACATCAGGAATCACGTATCACAGGCTCACGAATTCGAGGCTCTGCTTCTGTCGGACCCTCGATTCGAAGTTGTCGCCGAAGTAATCCTGGGACTCGTTTGCTTCCGATTGAAGGTAAAAGCTCTACTATTGTCTTAGTCAGACGATTTAAATTTAGAAATTTGCTATTTCGTGATCAGTGTGCGAAAATAAAAATACTTGGAGAACCCTTTACTTTATTTACCATTAATTGTCCATTCGCAGGGCTCGAACGAAATAAACGAGACCCTGTATAAGAGAATCAACGCCGCCGGGAACATTCATCTGGTCCCGTCGAAGATAAACGACATGTACTTCCTCCGATTCGCGGTTTGCTCGCGGTTCAGCGAGAGCAAGGACATTCAGAACTCTTGGAAGGAGATAAAGCTCAGAGCCAGCGAGGTCCTCGAGGAGCAGTCGGTTTCTAAGTGATGGCGGGCTCAGATAGCGCGTGGTTGCAGGTCATTGGCTCCTGCAACTTGCAATCAAACCTAGCTTCTTAGTTGGTTCGTGTCTTAGTAATCCTGGAAGAACGAGCGGATGATTAAGACGTGGAGATCTGTCTTTCGTATTTCGCTGATTAAAAGTTAGAAAAATTCTAGAATGAGAGCACTCCTTTGTCCGCAAAATTTCATTCCAGCAAAACGACATGAAACAAGTAACAAAATTTTACTATCCAGTCTCGGACCAATAAAATAATAAAAGAAAGGATTATTTTGGAAACACGTCGGACAGATCCCGTGAAAATGCCAAAGATCGTTCTTCGAGTGCTGTTTTACCTTGAAGAGCTCATACGTAGTTGAAGTAAACGCAGTATTAGGTTGTCACTTGCCACTTGACACTTGTAACGCATAGCTAAACGTATTCCAGACTAGATAGCTTTCTTCGTTCACTTTGGGTGGCACGCCAGGCACGAGTTCGTCTTTTGCAACAGGATTGCGTAATTGTTGGCATCCGTGCAATGGTGGCGTCGTGTATCTGCAAAAATTCAGCCGCTCTTAAACGCGATGTTCGTTAAATTTCTTCTCGTTGTGCGAATTATTTCAACAGATGGTTAATTGGACTGAATTTTTGCATTTGACAACGCACGGATAACGCGCACAGTATTATGTGTAATATCGTATTCATGTTGAATCTGTGTGGTTATAATGTAGATATCGAAGATAAATGTTATCGTTGAATACTATTTACAGACGTAGACTGTTTCGTTGAAAATAAACCAAATAGGTTACAGGGATGGAGAAGGGCCTCGTAATATTTACATGTTGAAATCTGAGTATTCGGTAAAGTGTACACACCGATGAAGTGGATCGAATTCCAAACCGAGTTGTATATATTCGGTACATGTATATACAATGTTGTATAAAATATTAACTTATCCCTAAAGATTAAATTTCGTTTGGATTATTTAAAAAATTGTACCTTAGTTACAGATTCATATCGAACCTAATCGATTATTTACTTGCGTATACCGATCGCGTACGCAATCGTAACTGCACCTACCACGTATTTATGTTGTAAATAATTTATACATAATTAGCTGTAAGTGTATGTAACGTATTCCCGTCTTCCTCTCCTACGCAAGCCACCTTCGTTCCCGAATATTATATTTATTTGCCGTGATCGTACTCGAAGCGCGATACGAGTATTGTTTATCGAGTACGATTACGGCATTCTCAATGTAAAGTAGTGCTGCAACTGGGACAATAAATAGTACTAGAATTACTTTGCACTGTTTGGTCGATCGAACGAGTAAACGTTCTTAAAGATGTTCGAAGCAAACAAATATCAACCGTTCCATACGCACTGGTTACGAATCCGCACTTTTCTATTTATAACGATATACGAACATCGTGTGATTACAAGTGAAAACTATATATTTTTTGTATAGAATATACTGATGAAATTTTTATTAAAAACTGATTGCACCAAAGGTGTTGACGTAGGATTGAAGAAACAGTGAGCCGAAATAATGATTATTATTATCAATCTGTAAGAAATAAGAACGTTTTCTCGGTGAAATAACACGGATTGCTGTTAAACGGGACCAACGGAAAGTAATAGAATGATATGTAATATCGTACGTACCTGCTGTATCGATGTACGGAAACATGATTTATTTCGACATTTCGTTTCACTTGTTGCGAACAGTTACCGTTTATAGCGGACATATATGCGTATTGTATTATATATAAATGTTGAAAGTGTCTATCGAAGAGTCTTGGACGTTATAGCGATGTGGATTCAATAAAGAGTGTATTACATCTACCCTGATCAATGCTTGATGACTCTAACTTAGTTGTAATAGTGACAGAAGGACGGAATCGATCGATATTAAAGAAAAATGATGTATTAAAGCTTTACAAAATTATACTCTTTATTAAAATTGACAGAGGTCGGTGTGACAGTATAACCATCGAAAACAGAATAATTCAATCGAAAAGGCGTAAGTATACCTCTCCGAAAATATCTAACACAAATAACGTTTCGCTGTTCGAACTGACACCTCTCGTGGACAATTGTACATACACATTTGCTGCGACGTTAACTAATATTTTTTTTTTGCATACTCTCGCAGAATCACGAAGGGATTCAGCTACGCTTCTCGTCTTTCTTTGGAGGGCCTCCGAATCGTTTGGTCAGCTGAATTATCCTCTCAGCCTCGCGAATCCCGCTCAATCGCGCCCCGTGAACTGTGCTATAGTGACCCGGGATCGTGGCTTCCCCAGCGAACAGGAGGATCGGTGGTATCGGCTCGCATGTACCTGGCGAACCAATACCGAGGTCGTATAATAGGCTTTGCGAAAGAAATACGAAGATCTTGCTGGAAGATTCGTTTTAATAATTGTAGTGGATATAGTAAATTAAATATATATTGTGCAAAGTGTATATACAGTCGAGTATACGTATCCTTAATGTTTATCGAAGAAATTTGTCTAAACTGAACGATAGCTTTGATGTTTCCGAACAAATTTCTTTACCATTTAATTTAGACTAATTTATTCGGTAGACATAGAGGGTAGGAATATTTATGGGACTAATTGTATTGGGTATATTCGACAACGTTTGTGTTTGAATAAAAAATGACATTCTGAAGTCGCTGTTGGAGAACCCTTTACATTATCGAGTATTCATATTTTCGTTTCCTTCTTGTGCTTTCAGGACTACCTTCATTTTCTATTATACTATTATCTAAACTATCTCGTATCTAGTTGCACGTCCAGCGAGCATGTCGAGCAAACTATTTTCCAAAATTGTTTCGTTGATTGTCCGAGAACATTTCAAGAACTCCGAGTATTTTCTGAGCGGAGGTTAATTTTGAAAAATCTTACCATATTTTGATAGAAATAAATCGAACGGCACCGAGGAATTCTCATTACCATTTCCAGCTTCGAGCCATTGAAACGCGACAATACGCACCTGGCAAAGGACTAGCTAGATCACACTGATGACCGACAGTGCTGTCGAGGCCCATGTAGCTATATGCACCGGCGAAGTATTGATCCATGCACCATTTGCTTCTGAGAAGATTAGCCGGGTATGGCAGCGTGGGATCACCGGTGAATTGTCGAAGAACTCTTGTTATCGATTCCACGATCTCCTCGTCGGAGCACAGTTCCATATCAGCCGCCTCGCGGCCGCAAATCCACGCGCATAGAACGTGCTGCGAGGTCGACAATTCCTCTATATTAGAAATCCCTGAAATATACAGATATTATTAATTGAATTTATTAATCGAGGTGGGAGTGAAAGAACGAAAATTGCCGATCAATATTTCTGTGTAGTAACAGTAGAGAGGCTTGGATGTGAGAAAAATGAGACCATTATTTAACAATATTCACGTTTCTTGTTCCATAATGTATCTGGCAAATATTATGAAATATACAGAAATTATTAGTTGAGTTTAATCATTGAAGTTCGAGTGGAAGAACGAAAATTGACAATCAATTTATTTCCATTTCTGTGTAACAGCGATAGAAAGGATATGAGAACACGAAGACCATTATTTAACAATATGCACGTTTGTTGTTCCATAATGTATCTGCCGGATATTGTAGACCTCTTGAACCTGGAGAAAGAATCGACTGTACAGTGCCTATGTAGAAGTGACAATAAGAAATCATTAGAGAAAAGTATTTGTGTTGTTATTTCTCGTATCCACAAAAATAATTCCATTCTTCTTCGTATCAGTTTGTAAACGCTAATTTCGAATAAAAATATCTTATTTCGTGTGTGCTTTGCTAACGAACAAAAAATGGAGATTTTAAATACTTTATACTCGTGTTTCTATCGAATCTATTCATCTACCCGAAATCGGACGTAAAGCTTCCAAAACGATCGGAGCCGTGTAGTATTCGAAACCGAGAAGTCGATGTTCGACGAGAAAAGAAAGTCTCACCTTTCACCCAGTCGCATCTGTCGGTGAGTTCGTCGGCCGACCAGGCCAGCTTGATACCTCCTTCCTTCCATACCCAGAACGGTCTCGCGTATTCCAAGAATATTTTATTAACGTAGCCGTAGCCCAATTTAGAGATGGCCTCGACTTTCTCCGCTGGCAGCGCCGGGCAGAAGAGTTTGTCGTGTTGGTGCTTCAAAACGCCGAGGGACACGGTGACGATCACGTAATCAGCAGGGAATTCGTCGCCGTCGCAGCACTTCACCACCGCTCGCGGACAGGAATCCGTCACGGCCCCCCATCGCACGCAACTCACCGGTTTGCAGTACCTGAAATCATCGATCGTTGATTTTAATTGTTGAAGATTCATCGCCTTTATTATTGGTTTCACCGGATTGAGTTTTATCTGGTACTCGAATGTATACAACCAGTCCCATAAACAGGGTGTCCCAAGCTGAGTGTTATGAAGCTCTGACCCCGGAAACTATCGGCCGTATGCAAAATTGCAAATATGGAAATTACATGGTAAAATGGGGCGCATGTTTTAGCGAGAAGGAATTAAATTTGTTATTCAACAAGATATGACGGTCAAGTTTCGTTTTTCAAATGGAACTAAATATATATATTTTTTTAGACGATGCGATAGTTTTCAAGACGAATTCATTAAGGTTTAATGTATTTACTCGATTATTTGTTAGTATTCAAGATAGAACGCTTCAGAGTTTGCTAATTTTCAAGGAAAAACCTCGGTCCCGTTGATGCAGTAAGCACCACGCGGTTCTTGAAATCGATACAGAGGGTCTCGTTTGTGATCCTAGGCCCAGAATATTGGGATTCTTCCCGTTTTCCTTCCTTGGGCCTAGAATCCCATTCTTCCCATTCTTCCGAGTCAATACGAGTGACAAGGATTCCGAATATTTAAAATTGTACCGGAGAACTGGATTCCAACTAACTTGAGGGAGCAACTCGGCAGATCCCTCAGCAACGGAGCAAGGACCCCCACGTATCCAAGGGGCACCCTCACGTTGCCACCGGGGATCTCTATGTAGCTTCCAAACTGATCGGCTGAAACGAGCGACAGGTCATCGCCGCAACGACACCTCACGCAGTTCGTCATCCCGTACATCACCCTGGCTGCGTCATATCTGAAGACGCGAAATAGGCAAACGGTATCGGGGGGACACGACACGCGATATCGTTTCGTTAGGAACGCAGTGATGTAACGTTACGTGTGTCGGATCAACGATCTCTCATAGATCTCACAGCTGCGAGCTGGATTATTATTTCGAACTATTGGAATTGGAATCGAATTATTGGATCGTCCAGAATGTTCGTGTCAATTTTTAAGAAAAACTCCAACGGTGTTTTGAACTTTGACGCATATTTATCGAGTTATATAAGTATTAGGTTGTCGCGAGAGTTTCTTTCGCGAGTTGCACTCGATTATTTGATGTGGTCGTGTTTGTATAAATAGACAATCTAATTTCATAGATGTTCACGTTGTAACAGTAATGGAACAAAATGAATCGTGCACAATTTAGTAATGTAACGTAAAACATAAAATATTGTGCATGTATTACTTGTTAATAAAGCGAAAGAAACTTTTGGGACAACCTAATACCATTTCGTTCCATATCTTTCCACCTTTTAAGGGATGTACCGTTCCGATATATTCCTGTGCCACCTATCAAAAATCGACATGGACTTCTTAGACGAACCAATATCAGTGAAAGAAATTATAATGATTGCTTATAAAGACACTAGGATTCCACAGCTACGTTCGCATCACTGCTGAAAAAGTTTGCAGTTGACCTGGGCAACTGTACCGTTGCTCCTCCGGGAAATTGTGGAGCTCCTGCTGAATTCTGACGCCCATGAAATTCAGCAACGTACCGTGGGTGCGGCCACAACCCAGGGAGAAGAGGGTCGCTGCTTGTTGCTCGATTTGACGAAAGGTGTGATAAGCGGTGATGCTGACGGGAAGGTCGATGGCTCTTCCGTCGCTGGTGCAGAAGAGACCGTGGCTAGGATCGGGCCTGAAAACCGGCGGCTTCAGGAGACCTTCTTGGGCCGCCAGGGTGAACACGGGATTCGCCACGCATCCCCCCTCGATCCAGGTGGCTCCCATTTCCGCCACCACGTCGCCCAACCAGCACGAGTGGATTCGCCCACCTGGTCTGCAGTATACGTTCGTTATTATTAAAATCGTAAATTGATAAGGCAAGAGCATAAAATTGTACGAAATATAGAAACAATTCTGCTTTGTCTAGGCTGGTAACATTTCGATATACCAAATAAGACCTACACTCAGTAGTATATGGATACTTCCTTAATAGAAATAAATATCTAATAAAAGTTGCGAATCGATTAATATCAATTGTATCATTTATCTTTCGATACGTTTATGTTGTATTAGCGAATATATTTTATTAATAATTTTTTCTAACATCGCATTAGTAACGATAAAAACTACGGAGATAACTAGATTAATTTCTTCATTAGATCCGAAGTAATATTGTTTCATTTATTTTGTAATATTTGGCCGTAAGTGTGTTTGATATATTCAACATTCTTTCTGAAATTTTCAATCTAGACGATCCCATAGTTCCACTATAAAATTGAATATGGCAGTAAAGACATTTAATATTATCAAATGTTAAATTCACATACAATATAGAATTTAGCGATACAAGTTGTATAGTAATAATTCACGGTGTATATTAATTATTCATTGAAAGCAGTAAGTGTCCAAATATTTATGAACGAGGCTGTTTGTTCAATAGCGAAGGGAATCGTAATAGTGTTCTGGAGATCCCGAAGATAAATAACAATTTAATTGTCGTACGAAAATGTTAACTTATTTCATCAAAATTGTAGACAGTGGGATTTCAGGCTAATTGAAAATAATAAATGAGTCTTTTTTAAGAACCGTGCAGAATGTTAATTTACATAGCGATGAACGCGGGACGTACCGATCCGTCGCCTCCAATATCGTGAAATTCTGAAGACCACACTGTGCCAATCGATGGGCCGCTGAGAGTCCTGCCATCCCCGCGCCAATGATCACCACCGTTGGCTCGGGCTTGCAAGGATCCAGCATGCAAGGATCCAGCTGACAGGACTCGAATCTGGCCAGTTTCGTGCACGCTGGTATATCCTTCTTTTCAGCTCCTCCTCCTCCTTTTCCTCCATCGCCTCCACATTTCTTCGACGAGAAAAATCTATTCGAATAGCACGAATTACGATATCAATATCACCATAACTATGCAGAGTACAACTCGGTACAACCACTTCGTTCTCGACTCATTCGCGATTTTCGAAACAACCCTCGAAAATGTACGTTTCAATTTCATTCCGATAACAATTCGCGCGAATAATTTTTAATCCTACCCCCCGATCGAGAAGTCTGACACTGACAGCAGGCGGAGTCGTCAAACGTCAATTCCAACCTCGCGAATGGCCACGTCACGCGAAATGCATCGGCACAGTGGTTTTGCACGCGAAACAGGCGAGCACGCTCGATCCGTACTATTATGGATCCGCGCGTTAAAACGTGCCGATAACGCGACATCGTGAACGTTCGAAATGTAAACGTCACAACAAGAGGGTGAATTCTCCGGATCTACCTTACTAACACTGTCTGGAACCTCCGAAACGGTTGCCCGGGCCTCGTAAGTAGCATCTCATTGGACAGGAATCGGCGAAACTGGCGAATTTGATCATGAAGACGATTGATGCCTAATCTTGGTAGAAATTTTGACGTCGGTGGGGATGGCTCCGTGTCGGCGAACGTTGCTATAAGGGGAGCATGTCACACGGATAAACAAACGACCATTGCTGTCATGACGTTCTATTGTCGCTCGATGAACACGTCGCAGCCGACTGGGATCACATTTCTATTGGTCGTCGAAATAATTCATAAATTATGTAATTCATAGAGTTGCCTTTGATAGAATAGCACAGAGGTACATTGCTCGACGTTGTTAATCGTCACATTATTTATTGCGTTTCGACATTTTTACATGATACTTGTTGCACGTATTTGTAACGTACAACAATTTAAACATTTCGTAACAGTATTCCAAGTACAGCGCCTAGCAGCGGCGAACTACGTGTGAAAATGTTAGAGAGAGGGGGAAAGTTTGTTATAAATATTTATTCTTAAAGGGAAGATGTTAATGTTTGTATTTAAACTAAATCACACATGGTTTCCTTCCATCCGGTTCGAGTTGAACGTGTCATCGTATACCTGAATAAATAATTAATACAACGATTCATTTTAGTCCGTATTTGTACTATTTTCCATCAAATGTTTATCAAATTGCCAAAATGAGGAATATTTTTATTCGACAATTTCACCGTTATCGAGTATCGAAAAGCTTCGTCGGTTCTTACGTACTTTTTTCTTAATTAATTCTACGATATCTTTTGGATTTTCGACTCGGAATTCAAATTTTCTAGTCTGGTCGCTATGCCGTTCAAGGATTTTTCCTGAACGGAAGGACGAATGGCGTTCTCGATCGGTTGCGACCGCAGGATGTCCGTCGCATGTTTCGTGAACTGGTTCCATGCGAAGTCTATGTCTGCCTCTGTGCACAAGCGGCTACCAATGGCGAAACGAATGACCAATTTATCGCGAATCGTTGCTGGAATCACGTAGATCTTTTTCTCGGCTGTCACGCGGTCGAGAAGTTCCCTGGTGTATCGATCGTCACCCTGAAATTAATTGAACGGTTCGAATTACTCCGTGACTTCTTTAAAAATATGGCAATGTTTCATTATCGTTCATTTGACAAAAATTTAACCCTAAAAATATAGTAGCTGATTTCAATCGATTAAAATTCACGAGACTGAAAAAAACACTCTTTTCCTGTTTCCACAGCTTTTCTATACGCACCTTTAACGTGAAGCAAATCAGCCCCATAGCCCTCTCCGTCGCCAATTCGAATCTGTCGTCGTCTTTCACGTATCGTTCGAACATCTCGGCCAATTTTATCGTTTCTCTTATGTGCTTTTGTAAGCCCTCCACTCCGTAAAGACGCAACACGAACCACAGTTTCAGGGAACGAAAGCGTCGGCCTAATGGAATTTGCCAGTTCTAACAAACAAATTTCGAAGAACAACAGATCGATAAGAAATAATCACTGTATAATAATAAAAATTTCATATAGTAACAGACTGAATGAATCGCATCATAATTGAGTTTATATCGCGAAGGAAACGTTTAGAAAGTTGTGTCGAAGCGCAAGGCGGTTACGTGGTGCATTCTCAGCGAGAGAAATGACTTCCGTGAAGACTCTAACGTATGTCAGTTTTCCAGCGAGAAAGATACGCATGGCAACCATTTATGACAGCTTTTAAACGTTGCTATAAGTTCAATTTACTCTGTAATCTGGAGCGAGTCCTTGTTTATCGTGCGCCAGGTAAATTCTGTCTATACTAAGAGCCTCGACGAGTCGCCTGGCGTCTTTCAGCCTAAAAATGGTTGAGAACATAAAATTATCTTCCATTAGAAAACGATGAACACGTTCAAAGACGTAGCAAAGGTATATGTATATACACGCACCAGAGCGTGGAACAATCGAAATTAACGAGCAGCCATTTGTGCGGATTAATGTTGAAGGAGTCGGCATATTCAACGCCAGACATCAAGTACCGGTACTCGGGGCAGACGAAAGCAGCGCCTGTAAAAGTGTAATTAAAGAGTATGCGATTAAAGAATACATCTAGCATTGCTTTATGTAATTTCATCTAAAAACGTGCAAAACTCGTACAGCTAAAGGTAAACGAATTTGAATCAGTTGTACAGTTGAAGTTTTATCTCTTCTACTTGAACTATTTGTCTCTACAGAAACTTTAGTTATTATATCGACCCCAAGAGAGGTGAATTTTGATTACTTTTTTTTTTGCTGTACTTGAACTATTTGTCTCTACAGAAACTTTAGTTATTATATCGACCCCAAGAGGGGTGAATTTTGATTACTTCTTTTTTTTGCTGTGCAGTATCATTTTAATATAGCGTACGTTTTAACTCTAAAAAGTATTGTGATCCTAAGTAATGGTGATTTTATTATAAAAGCAAACGTGAAATGCGTCAATATCACTCGAGAGGTCAACGACCCTTACTTTAACACGTTGACTGGCAGAGAAATATTCTTGAAAATTTCTGCTAGGATTAAATATTATTCAGACTATTGGAGACTACATAATCAAACATCCGTCGTGGTATTTATTTTTGTAACTTCATCAAAATACACGAGTTTCATTTAAATTCATTTCCTGTGAGAGCTTAACTTTCGGAATTAATGTTTTCAGTTAGTTCTTCAGTGAAAAGCACTGTCACCCACATATGGGCGACGTGCCGATCAACGTGTTAATACGTAGAATACTCTACGAGTATATGAATATCGTTAACCTGCGTAAGCAGCATCTACGTGCAACCAGATGTTGTACTCGTTGCAAATTGGTCCCAGTTCTTGAAGGTTATCGAAGGCACAGGTGCCCGTGGTACCCAAAGTGGCCACGACGTAACACGGTATGAGGCCATTCTCCAGGTCTTCCTTGATCGCTTTCAACAACGTTTCGCCTCGAAGAGAGTACTTGTCGTCGGGCGGTACGAGTTTCATGGGTATCGCCATTATAATTCCCGCCTTCTCCACCGAGGAGTTCGATTGATCTGCGTAACGGAATTAGAAATCATCGAAGAAACGCGTGTCAAGAAATGACATGTAATAAATGTATTCGTACGAATACATTATTTCGTACGAATTAATTACCAGATGTATAGGCGACCAATTTAGACCTGATGTAGTCTTCGCTATATTCTGGATGAAGACGCCTCATGCGGTGCACAGTTTGTTCCCTCGCTGCTAAGAAACACACGAGGGTGGTTTCACTCGCCGATCCCTGAACAAATAAGGCGCGTGCGAATTATTGTTCATTAATTTACCAGTTTACTAATTAATTTATTAGTTCACTGTTAATAATCAATGTTCGTACAACGTGGCTCGTTGGTCTAGGGGTATGATTCTCGCTTAGGGTGCGAGAGGTCCCGGGTTCAAATCCCGGACGAGCCCAATTTTTTTTCTCTCATTTACTCAACGTCACACGATAATTACTAACAGACAATATTTGTGATACTAACAAAATTTGTCCAAATATTATGAAACAATAATAAATAGGAAACGATAATTCCTTTGGGTTATACACGTATCATCTCGAAACAAATTGTAATAAAACAAATAAATACGAAATTTATAATATAAATTTGTATTAAATTGCAAGATTGTTTCCTACGATATATAACCGAATTGTTTTTGTTGTTATATGGAAACAACAATATCCAGAGTAACCTGTAAATTATTTTTGTTATATCGAATGACCCAACTTTCGTTGGGTACTGAGAAAAATTTAATACAGACTCATCAATTGTTCCCCTCCACGGAAATCTTTAGTAAAAGGCGAAAGATTTATACGTGTCTTGAAGGGAAACCAGAGTGCCCCTTACTTTGTCGCGCGGGCACTTATGCTAGAGCCTGGGCCCTTTTGTAAGCGAGAAAGGTAGCCCCCTAGTGACATCCTGAGTAGTAACGTAAACCAATGCAACGGAATATCAAACTAGTGTACCTACTGTTGGAATCATACGCTCGACTAATTGTCGCACCTCACTCGCACTCATTTACATAGTTGCGCTTTACGCGCGCCACAATCGTTCTCGCTCCACGGGTTCGCCCGCGGACTTTGAACATCGATACGTGCTACAGTTCGGCCACGCTCAATGATGCAACGTCCTCGTTGCATTGACGCTAACGATACATACATATTTTTTTATTTCATTTCACAAATTTTCATTAATCGCAGTTACACGCTACTTCGCGTACGCGGTTTTCGATAAGTCGAGACGTCGCTAACATACTTAAGTCGATCTGCTGCTACGATTCCACTATACTCGCGTTGACTTCGACGCTCGCCTTCGATATCCTTTATTAAATAGTGGTCATTCCCTGTCACTCGAACCTCTTGATACGGACCGCGATATTTCGGGTCCGCAAAATTTATAATATAAATTTCTATTAACACGTTGACTGCCAGACTGATACT